TTTAGGTCCATTGCCCATTTTTTAATTGGATCATTCATCTTCCTTTTATTTAGTTGTATAAGCTGTCTGTAGATGTTGGAGATTAAACCTTTATCAGTGGTAACATTTGCAAATATGTTCTCCCACACAGTGGGCTTTCTTGTTGTTTTGTTGATGGTTTCTTTTGCTGTAAAAAAGCTTTTTATTTTGATGTAGTCCCATTTGTTTATTTTGAAATGAATGCAGTCTTGCTATTATATTTTGCAGTAATCCCCTTTTAGTTAGGAAAAAATGCTTTTATGTATAGACAAAAAATGTATTTGTATTTCTTTCATAGAGTTTATCTATCAACATAAACTAGTATGAAGTATAATGGTGAAGGAAAATACTTGAAGAAAATGCTTGGAGCCGAACCCGGTTTGGCTCAGTGGATAGAGCGTCAGCCTGCAGACTGAAGGGTCCCAAGGTTCTATTCCGGTCAAGGACATGTACCTAGGTTGCAGGCACATCCCCAGTAGGGAGTGTGCAAGAGGCAGCTGATCGATGACTCTCTCTCATCGATGTTTCTAACTCTCCATCTCTCTCCCTTCCTCTCTGTAAAAAAATCAATAAAATATATTTTTTTAAATAAAAAAAAAAGAAAGAAAGAAAATGCTGGGAAATAACCTAAAATTCTCTTTCATAAAAACTTATAGCAATGTTCAATTTCAGGTATTTCCCCCCTCAAATATTGTTTATCTTGTCAAATGAATTGCTTTCAAAGGGTAGCATGGCAAAGACCTTCCGGTAGGCTCCTCTGTAGTTTATGTGGGAATCCCAAATAGAAAGAGGCTCAGGGCCATGAAAGACAAGGGGGCCGAACCTGGTTTGGCTCAGTAGACTGCAGACTGAGGAGTCCCGGGTTCGATTCCAATCAGGGGCAAGTACCTTGATTGCTGGCACATCCCTGGTGGGGGGTGTGCAGAAGGCAGCTGGTCAATGTTTCTCTCTCATTGATATTTCTAACTCTCTATCCCTCTCTCTTCCTCTCTGTAAAAAAATCAATAAAATATATTTTAATAAAAATAAATAAATACAAATAAAAAGACAGAAGGGGGTGGTTAATGCAATAGAATGGATCATTCTCACAGAGTGAGTGTGGAGAACATCTTCCATAGAAAAAGGAGAATCACAGTGAGACGAAGAGAAAAGAAATGGAGGTACAGAATTAGAAGTGGGATTCGTGACATTTTGATTCAGCGAAGGTCTTCAGCAGATAATGTTTGTGTACCATTACCCAAGCAGCTGGTTAAACTACTGGAAAGTCATCTATAGTAAGTAATTGTAGTTTTTGATATAGCAAAATTTACAAAAGTGTCTAACTTTTAAGTCTTGTCCTGTATAATAAGAGGATTTTTTAAATGTGTTTCTCCAGTCAGAGCAATTGCCGTCTTTATTTGGGAATGTTTTTTGGTAGGTGTAATCTTTCCATTTCACTATGTAATCCCCTACCCCCTAAAAGAAAGTGTGTATATAAGGAAGAAATATTTTTTGAAACTGTAAAAATAGGCTTCAAATTTTACTACTCTGGGTAGACTCTCTCTATTGCTAGTTTTATCTTTATAATTATTTTAAAAGAATTAGTGAGTATGTCACCTGTGAGGAGGTTTATGTCTAAAACCAGACAAGATGGGCTAGCTTAGTGGATTTTTTCCCTGCGATGATTTGGAAAAAATGCATGGCTTTTTATCTTTTATGAGCCTCTGTCTCGTGGTATGTAATTGAACATTCCTCTCTCGTCTTCAGTCTTCATGGGCCTCTAGAAAGGTTTCCAGCAGGGGCACATTTTTAGACAGGGGGAAGAAACAGTTCAGAGTTATTTTGGATCTCCTCAGCTTGTCTCTCTATCTGGCCATCTCTCTCTCAGTCTCAGTCTCTCACAGACTTTTATTCCTGGGCCCCCACCCCTCGCCCCCTCCACTTGGCTCCTTCGGCCCTCTACTTCCTTCCAGCTCAGCTCTGTCATGGTAATAGCCAGCCAAGGCCAACTCCTGCATGTGTGTGCTTTAGCTGAATCATTCTCACAATTATAAAATTATTCGAGGCAGTAGAATCAAACTGTCCCTCACCACTACCCTGGCCAGTTTGGTTCAGTGTATAGAGCATCAGCCCACGGACTAAAGGTTCCCTGGTTCGATTCTGGTCAAGGGCACATGCCCAGGTTGCAGGCTCAGTCCCCAGTAGGGGATGTGGAGGAGGCAGCCAATCAATGATTCTCTCTCCTCATTGATGTCTTTATCTCTCTCTCTCCCTTTCTCTCTGAAATCAATAAAAATATATTTAAAAGAGCCAAAACCGGGTTGGCTCAGTGGATAGAGCATCGGCCTGCAGACTGAAAGGTCCCAGGTTCGATTCCAGTCAAGGGCATGTACTTTGGTTGCGGGCACATCCCCACTGGAGGGTGTGCAGGAGGCAGCTGATCGATGATTCTCTCTCATCGATGTTTCTAATTCTCTGTCACTTTCTTTCTCTCTGTAAAAAATAAATAAAATATGTTTAAAAAATAAAATAAAAAAGAATATAATCAAAGATTATGTTCATATTTGTCCACCTGAAGTATACCATAAATTATATGAATTAAAAAATATTTAACTCAGCTAACCTGAGGAAGGAGGAAATATTCAAAATAATATCAATGACAGTACGGCGCTTGTTTCTTTATTACGTGGTGCGCACAGCTCAGAGACCTGGTGCAGCCAGGCTTTCTCCCTCAGAGCCCCATCTCAAAACAGGCTGTGTCGCATGCAATCCCTGGAGCAGTCTTCCTCTCACATCTTCCTTCTCCACCGTAGCACACCCAAGAGTTCATCCTGTTGGAAGGTTTCGTCCTTCCTCTGAATCTATTATACCTTTCCATGTTCCTGACCCTCTCTCATAAAACTGGCTCATACAAAATACTCAGGATTCTCAGCCAGGAAGTCAGTGGGTGGTTCTTGGAGTTTGATCACTTTTATGTCCAACTATTACTGGGTCAGCTGAGAATCCTGGTTCCAGTTTGGCCTCTGCCCCACTTCCATTGTCTTGTGACTGCATTTACATGCAAAGATCCATTCTTGAGGGGTTAATTTTAGCCAGCGTGTAGTGGTGGTGTATAATTCAAGCCAACCCACATGTGCTACAGAGCCAAGTTATCAAACCTCAGAGCCACATGCCAGGTCTTCCTAAGGTGGCGAAGGTCGTTCTGATCTGTACACGGAATTGCTGCCTCCAGGTTTCCTGTATTCCCATGCAGGTTTTGCCAGGTAGTATTCACAGAAGAGTGGTTATGAGTCTTAAAAGAGGCCAAGCTGGTGGGCCAGCTGTCACACCTGGATGGCAAGTACCTCCAGCCCTGGCAGGATGGAGGGCTACATGACTTCAAACTCCTCTGCTGAGCCTTAACCAGTTTGGCTCAGTGGATAGAGCGTCCGCCTGCGGACTGAAGGGTCCCAGGTTCGATTCTGGTCATGTACCTTGGTTTGCAGGCACATCCCCAGGGGGGATTGTACAGGAGGTACCTGATCGATGTTTCTAAATCGCGATCCCTCTCCTCTCCCTTCCTCTCTGTAAAAAATTAATAAAAAATATTTTTTTTCAAGTCCTCTGCTAAATCATTGAGGCAGATGTAAAAAAAAATGTAGGAAACATTTTCTTAAATGCATAATGGAACCAGCAAAAATATTAGAAATATTGTCAAGGGGCAAAAACAAAAGGGAGCTGGAAACTAAACGAGGGGGAGGGTGTGGGCCAGGGCTGCTGCTGAGCATCAGGCATGGGATTCACTGTCCACCCAGGAAAGAGAGGGTCTGATGCCTTTGCCCAGGAATGGCACCCATTCAAGTTGGTCTGCCTGGTGTGCTTCCCAATAGCCATGGCTAATATATGTACTTATATCCATGATGCTCAAAGGTACTTTTCCCCATGCCTCCATGTATACGTCTTCATTGGGGGGAGAGGGTGAAGGGAAGGGAGCTGCCCTGGTGACATAGCTACTCTTCCAGTTCACCAGATTAAACTGGTGCTCTCTGTTCTCTCTGGGCGTGCTGACCAGGCACAGCCAGTGAAATGCCCTGTGTAGGCAATGGGGGCTGTGTGTCCACAAACACCCCTGAAGCCCAGAGTTGGGGTTTTGAACTTGTAATGCTTATCTGCCATAATATGGGGAGAAAGGCAAGTGGTACAGTCAGAAACCCAGAGGTAGCTCACCACAGCATTTGAGACAAGTGGAAGGAGAGAGACTCACGAGGAAGTATTATGATTGCCTGCCTCGTGGTGAGGAAAGGGTGCTCTGAGGAGGAACTGACCAACATCAGTTGGAAAGAACACCACACACCCCTGGTTTGAGGCTAGGACAGTGACATGCTCCATCTGTCACAAAGTTAAGTGGAACTTTGTCGCCGAGGCCTGTATTTGATGGTGGCACTGCTGTTACAGTGACCGTGAGTAGGACTGTCAGGAGTATGAAACATGGTCTTACCATGTTTCGAGTACCACTCCATTCGTGAGAGGTTCTTGCCATAAGTGACTTCCTTTTTTTAATTTTTTATGAAATTTATTGGTTAATAGGATCATACAGGTTTCAAGTTTACATTTCTTTTTATTATTATTATTATTATTATTATTAAGGTATTATATGTGTACATATCCTACCATTGCCTCCCCACCCCACTCCCATACACGCCCTCACTCCCCAGTGTTTTGCCTCCATTGATTAAGCTTATATGCATGCATACAAGTCCTTCGGTTGATCTCTTATCTCCCCTACCTCTCCCTAACCTTCCCGCTGTAATTTGACAGTCTGTTTGATGCTTTACTGCCTCTGTATCTATCTTTTTGTTCATCAATTTATAATTGCCATCAGTGACTTTCAAGAAATGTCTCGATTCCTTACTTCCCCACTCTTAAAGAGTATTTTGCTTCCTGTCAAACAGTGACAATGACAAACATGATTGAAATGGACCTGAGGAAATGCGTGTGTTTCATATGTACCTTTATTCTTGTAGGCCTCTCTTTCGTGGAAGTTCGGATGTGGATCAACTCGGAAAAATCTTGGAGTAAGTAATAACTGTAATTTTACCTCCGTGCCCCGGGCATGAGAACATTCACGGAGACTTTACCTCTGACGTTCTCATAATGCATTTATCTCTTGTCTCTCCTGCCCCAAGCTGCTGCTGCAGACCCTGTTACTGTTTGTGTGGTGAGTGGGGACGCGGCAGGCGTGCTGTTTCCCACAGAGCCCGTCATGGCTCTGCTCCGGAGGCTTGTGTGTGGCTGGTGTGGGTTGTTGCGCTGCTCCTCCTCCTTTGCTTGGCTTTGGTTCAGGTGTGTTGCTTGCCTGGGGTCACTTCAGATACACCCACCATCAGAAGTGGGGTGTCCGGTGGCCTGGTAACCCATCCTTACCCCCCGGGCTTCCTGTCCCCACTGAGTATCCTTTAGCCATCCAGGTTGCTTCGGCATTGTTTTCCTGGACAAAGAATAGCATGCGACACAATCCATTTTCCTTTGGAGCACTGAAATAGAAAATGAGAATCCTGGGCTCTGATCCTGGGTCTTTGGCTAAATAACTGTAATCTCGAGTAAGTCATGTCACATACCCTAAAAAAGAGCTTCCACCGTGCCTGCCGCATAGTCAGTGCTTTAAAGATGTTAGCTGTTTTTATAATTCATTAGTCATTGTGTAACCATTTTTTGTTCCTCAGCTTCTTTACCTGAGAAATGGAACTTTGGGCTTAAATTTTCTTTACGTTCCCTTTTTGTGCTTCAGTTCCATGATTCCGGTTGTCTGTGACAAATCCTCGCTGATTTGTAGAGTTCCATCCATGTCTGCATGTGTGCATGTGAGGGTCTGGATGCTTTTCATGTTTCTAGAATTGTAAAAGGGAGGGGGCCTTTCTTCTCACAAAGCATGCAGTATGACATCCTCTGGGGATTTGTGCATTTGCCAAGTCCCATCAAAACTGGGGTGGAGTAGGAAGAACGTGGGAGTCGCAGAACACATTAAAAAAAGAAGAAGAAGAAGAAGAAAAAAGCCCTGCTCATTGGTCTGTGACATTTTCCAGGAATCCCGGGGATCGATATTTGTGGTCTGTAGAACTGGGGAGAAGTCCCCCTGGACTTCTATTTTAACCCCATCTCTCCAAGCATGACCGCTTTAAGACAGTTGAAACACAACCGAACCCGACTTTGTTCTCTGGGTAACTGGAAACAGCTCCCGTAGACATCTGCGAGCGCCAGTGCCACTGCTGAGTCAGAGCCCGGTGGCTTTGAGGTCTGAGAAGCATTTGCTCGTTTTATTGTCTGGGGGCCGCCTGGGCCCAGGGCCACTGCCACAGCTGCTGCTCCTCCCGCTGCTACCGAACACGCCGTACGATGGGGTGGCTCAGGACAGAACCGGCTGCGGAGTGTCCAGTTCTCTGTCCCTGAGTGATGAACTCCATCCACTGTCCCCGGCCCCGCGGGATCCAGGTGGTGTGCATGTGATCGTGCAGAGGGATCACGGGGGAAAGTCAGACCCTCTGTGGGAAGGAAAGCAGCTTGCCAGGCAGTGAGGCCCTCCACCGGCTTTTTCCCTGCTGACACCACCTGGGCATCTGGCCCACCTCCAGCCCCGGCGATGTTGTTAGCATGGCCGGTGCCCCTGAGGGTAACATAGCCTGTGAGAGGGACCAGGAGCAACCTCTGCTCAGCCTGTTTGGCTTGCTCCAAAGGGAAAGCCGGTTCCCCCTGAGATCCTAGGTTGCAAGCAGGAAGAAGCCATGAAGTCCTACATGTTCTGTGCCTTTGGACTTGACTTCTTGGTTGTTTCCTCTGAATGCAGTTACTACTTTGGTGTAGAGCAAAGGGACAATACTGCACCCTAGTGTCGCTTCTAAAGTACGAGAAACATGATTTCTGTCCCCCAATGATAGGTTTTGTGCTCTGTCATTCTTTCCAGTACAAATGTCAGCTTTTAAGGCTTATATATTCAGCTGTCCAAATACTGAAATTTGATGCAGGCACTTTTTAATGGGCCTATCGGCATTTCACCACGCTCACATATGGACCATAAAAAGCTCATACTGTATGAAACGGAATTATGTTTAAAGAAAGTTATATTCTCCTTCTCGTTAAGGGGGGGGTGGGGGGGGGAAGAAATGTTCGTGTTTAGGAAGATTTATACTTTCAAAGAACAGCAATACTTTGAAAGTGAAACTGAATGCTTTTCAGCCTGTGGCATTTTGGAGCATTTTTAAGACCAGAGTCGTCGTTAAATAGAACCAAAATATTGGGTTTGGAATAAGGAGAGTTGGGTTCACTCCAGGCTCTGTGGCTAAGCTCGCTATGTGTGGCTGTAGCAGTCCAGTTCTTTCCTTAACTCAGTTTCCCCATCTATAAAACAGGAGTAGTAATACCTGAATAGTAGTAGTAATAGATGTCATGAGAGGTTGTTGGAGGGATCAGAGGAGGTGATAGACTTACAAACACTTTTAAAAGTTATTTGTGGAAACATGTATATAATTATGCACCACACATACATACAGAGTCCCTATTTTTCCGAGGGCTTTTGGCACTCAGCTGCCCGTATCGCCAGATTTAATTCAATATAAATATATTGAAAGCTACAAATAAAAAGATTTTAAATTATTACTAGTAGTTGTTGTAACCAGCTTCTAGGTAACTAACTGGTGATGGTATGCCAATATATTAATATTTTAAAAAATGGCTAAAAGATAAAAATGAATGAAAGAAAAATGTTAAAGTTCTTTAATAAGCATTCTTCTTTTCTTCCTCTCCCATTCTCATTCTGTCCAACACACACATATTCATTTCCTTTCATAATTCGTAGTGAAGTTTTTTTCTTCTTTGTACTCTTACTCTAGATCTTGCTATTAAGCACGTTTTGTACAGTTGCCATTTCCATTCATTTGTTCCAGTATATATGTCCCTGGCTCTGCCTTTATCTGCCTCGATAACATGGCCCTCCCAGAGCATATCCTACGGAGGTAGGATTGGCAGCCCAGGCGCCCGCTGACGAGCACAGTTATGACACGCTGTCTGCTCTCCCCAGGGGAGGTCTAGGACCCGGGCTCTGTTTAGGTAAGAGAAGGGGAACAAAGCCCTACAGAGGTCCTGTGACATTCAGCCCCACATCTTCCTGAAACCTGGCAATCCATTCAGGAGAACTCAGCCCTCTGGACCTTCGTCCCAGCGAGAGCAGGCCAAGAAGACCCTAATGCAGGCAGGCCAGCAGCATTTCTAACTGTGGTTTAAATCGTTCATCAGTATTTGAATAGTCATAGATTCTGTTCACTAGATTATAATTTTTTTTAGTTTAGAATTAATCTGTCTATGTGAGACATCAGTTTTTGCATCCCAATTTCCTTTGTTTAAACCTACTTACTACCCATACACACGTTATAAATAATATCTACATAATGTATGTTACTTTGTTTAAAGCCACTGACCTACAATATTTCTGAAGAACCTTAAGTTATACGTTGCTAGAACTCAAAGAGTTCATATGTTAAGGTGGTAGTGCCAACACATTTTAGATGAATAACATCATTTCCCTCTTATCCTATAATAAATAGGTAATATGCAAATTGACCCTTGTGCCCTCACAAGATGGCTGCCTACAACCAGGCCGGCAGGGGGGTTAGCGAGGGACGACCAAACAATTGAACAAGCAGGCTGCGTGGGGCAATCAGGCCCGCAAGGGAGTTAGTGAGGGACAACCAAACGACTGAACAAGCAAACTTGTGGGGCAACCAGGCTAGCGGGGGGGGGGGGGGGGGGGGCGGAACAGTTGGGACAACCAGGGAGGCAATTGGGGGCGATCAGGCCAGCAGAGGAGGGAAGTTAGGGGTAACCAGGCCAGTGGCGGGGGGGGGGGGGAGTTAGGGCTAACCAGGCAGGCAGACAGGTGAGCAATTAGGAGCCAGTGGTCCAGGAGTATGAGAGGGATGTCCCAGATTGGAGAAGGTGCAAGCTGGGCTGAGGGCCCTACCCCCCCTCATGCATGAATTTCATGCACTGGGCCTCTAGTGGATAATAATGGGTAATGTATTGATGTTGACAAATACTCACTGTATAAAAAAGACACTGAAATTCATAGAAGTTAAGCAATTTCGCCTTACCTACCCATAAGTGTCAGGTGCAGAATTTGAACCCAGATCTGCCTATTTCCAAAGCCTGTGTTGTTTTTATATTATTTGATGCTCTGTCCACATTTCTGGACTCAGAATCATTTTCAGGGAAAACATTAATGATACTGTTTTTATTTATTTGCTCACTTTGGAATACCTAGAAATAGTTATGCAGTAAAAACATATAAATTAATTTTGATACTAAAGTATAAAATAGTGTTTGCATAACACAGGACTAGCATACCTTTCAGCCTCTTCTTTTTGTCTGATTCTAGTGGATGTAGTTGGGGAATTAATCTTTAACCAAGAGTGCAACCAAATTTATGTGTTAAGAAATAATGTGATATGAGCATCATAAAAGCAGGTCACTATCAAAGTGCTTGATCAGAACACAAAAAGCAATCTTAGGGCCGAGACCGGTTTGGCTCAATGGATAGAGCGTCGGCTTGGGGACTGAAGGGTCCCGGGTTCGATTCCGGTCAAGGGCATGTACCTTGGTTGTGGGCATATCCCCAGTAGGGGGTGTGCAAGAGGCAGCTGATTGATGACTTTCTCTCATCGATGTTTCTAACTCTCTGTCTCTCTCCCTTCCTCTCTGTACAAAATCAATAAAATATATATTTAAAAAAAAAAAAAAAGCAATCTTAGGCATAAAGGAAAATGTTCTGTGCCCATGTGGGTCTACTTTTAATCTATAGGTCCTGCCCTGTCAGTACATCAGGGTTTATTGGTAATTGAATACTTTCCATTTCTTTATTCTTCTGCTTACTGTCTGCTTCCAGAGAAATCTCTTCTCTCTTCCCAGCGAATTTTACAGCTTTCCTGTAAGATTACCCCAGGATCACCATAAGGCAGCTGAACAGAGAGAAATGAGCATCCTGCCTGTCGTACAAGTGAGGGGCTCCGGGGCTCTGTGTCCCCGGTGCCTGCCCCGTAGACTTTACCTCCATCTGGAGTTTGGTGGGGAAATAGCTTCTGCGTAGCGGCTGACGATCACGTGTGGTTTTCTCTTGTAGCGTCATTGGGCTCCCAGGAGAAGAGGACTGGCCTAGAGACGTTGCGCTTCCCCGGCAGGCTTTTCACGCAAAATCTCCTCAGCCCATTGAGAATTTTGTAAACGACATTGACGAACAAGGCAAAGACCTTCTTCTGGTAAGTTCAGGCAAGCGGCACTGTGCTGATGAGGCACTTACCCTGCCCCCTCTGGGTGGTGGGGACGGCACCAGTACAGCATCGCTGCCCCCGCCTCATGAGGCACAGGCCGCAGCCTTCCCTGCAGCTCTCCTTCCCACACCTAGGCCGGAAGCAGGCAGTGCTCCCACTCGGTAGTGTATTCTGCATTTCTTATATAGACGTGAGAGTCTATAGGCCTTAGCAGAAAGGTCGTGCCTCCGCTCCGTGTGGGCACAGCCAGTGGTTGGCATGTCTGCAGAGCTGTTGATTTTTCCCAGGAGAAACTCACTCCATCTTCCCCTGATGGTGGCTCGTTTTCTGGTGCGTAGGCAATGGTTCCCTCCACTGCCAAGTGATGAATAAGGACAGCTAAACGTCCTCCCCACTGTTTGTTTACAAGACCTGTATCCTTTGAAATAAATTAATTAGAAGTCAGAATATGGGCCTAGACCAGTGGTCGGCAAACTCGTTAGTCAGCAGAGCCAAATATCAACAGTACAAAGACTGAAATGTCTTTGGAGAGCCAACTTTTTTAAATACATTTTATTGATTTTTTTACAGAAAGGAAGGGAGAGGGATTGAGTTAGAAACATCGATAAGAGAGAAACATCTGATCAGCTGCCTCCTGCACACTCCTGACTGGGTATATGCCTGCAACCAAGGTACATTCCCTTGACCGGAATCGAACCGGGGACCCTTGAGTCTGCAGGCTGATACTCTATCCACTGAGCCAAACCAGTTAGGGCTGAGAGCCAAATTAAACTTAAACTTCTTCTAACACCACTTCTTCAAAATAGACTCACCCAGGCCATGATATTTTGTGGAAGAGCCACACTCAAGGGGCCAAAGAGCCGCATGTGGCTCGTGAGCCGCAGTTTGACTATCAGAACTTCACATGACTCATGGACTCTTCCAGCTCTAACCCCCGCTGCTAACCTTTGCCCTGTCAGTATTTCCTACGTCAGATTCCGAAGAGGAAGAATCTGACTGACATACCTTACCTTTTAACCAGGCTGCTGGTCCAGTCAGCTGTGCTGGGGTGGGGTATAAAATAGGGCCACCACAGGCTTTCCTTTTCGGCAGGAACTTTGAATGGCAGGCACTGTCACCTACTCATTTAGGGTGCCCCCTTAGCCGTGGTGGCTTTCAAAGTCAGACAACACACTAATGCTAGACTGGGAAAGTAGCAGGAGACCAAGAAGAAAAATGAACAAAGAAACGAACCAAAGAGAGAAGGAAGAAGCACATGGAGGAATAAGAAGCAGAGCCGGTGGCATCGGGACTAGGGGAAACTTAAGCATGCAGTGTAACACCCACAGGTAATCAGAGAAAGGACAGCTCGGAACTGCCCGATGCTGCTCTTGGGAGCCAGGCTAGAACCAGAAAGCAGGTTGCCAGCCGCACCGCCAGCAGCACCCGTGGCCTCTCCTGGAAATCATTTACTGAGGAAGGAAAGGGAAGACTGTGTTAGAAAGTTTCTGTTAATGAAGAAACGATTAGCATTTGGAAGTTTATCACATTAAGTTATTCTTCATTTTCATCTGGAAAAAAGCTTGACTAATATGATGCCTCAGTCATTCATATATGTATGGACATATATACATGAACATTTATAAACGCGCTCATATACATACAAGGGTGGGCAAAAACAGGTTTGAGGTGTGAGTTGACGTTCTTTTGAGTTAGTAAAGCAATTGTCATCTTAACCTGCATGTCTTTTTCCATACGAGCAACTGTAGACCTACTTTTGCCCACCCCTGCATAGAAGACAATTCAGGGGGGAAATTAATTTTTAACAACTGAAATTGACACGTCTTTTCGAGTTTTGTCCCCTTGGTTATGGTTAACTGGGGAGGCTAAATACTTATTTCAAATATGATGTTTTTGCTGGGAAAAAAAAATGTTAGAGCTCCTGATATCTGTTTTCAGAGCCTGAGGGCACTTTTTTTATTTTATTTTATTTTATTTTATTTTATTTTATTTTATTTTGTCGTTGTATTTAGTCTGCTTTTGCTGCATAACAAATAACAAAACAGCCAAAACCGGTTTGGCTCAGTGGATAGAGCATCGGTCTGTGGACTGAAAAGTCCCGGGTTTGATTCCAGTCAAGGGCGTGTACCTTGGTTGCGGGCACATCCCCAGTGGGGGGAGTGCAAGAGGCAGCTGATCGATGATTCTCTCCCATCGATGTTTCTAACTCTCTATCCCTCTCTCTTCCTCTCTGTAAAAAAATCAATTTAAAAAAAATATATTTTAAAAAATAACAAAACAAAAAAATAATACTAGCATATAACAGGGAGCATATCTTTCTTGCTCATGGGTCTGCACATTGGCAGAGGCAGCTCTCCCCCTGCCTTCAGGGCAAGTACAGGTCTGTCCATGAGCCTTATTCTGGGCCCAGGCCAGAGAGGCTGCAACTCCTTGGAGCATGTTTTTCTCGTGGGAGAAGGCCGATGCTCCCAAAAGGGCAAGCAGAAGCCTGAGAAGGCCGTGAGGATCCAGGCTCGGAAAGCCACCCTGATGCTTCTGTCCTCAGCCCACTGGCCAGAGCACGTTCCCTGGCCAAGGCCAGCCTTGGGGAACGCTCTCACCATGGAGGGAGGGGAGGGAAGAAAGGGAATATAGGCTGGAAATGTTCAGATCCTCTTAAGTTGTAATTTCAAACGCTCATCTTATAAGTCAGTGTTTTGAGGAAGTAAATTAAATATTATTAAATATTATTATATAAGATGTTTTTTAATACTCAGGCCAGCCAGTTGCACCTTTGGAGTAGAGCAATAACAGATCTTAGCCACTTTCCCCAACAGTTTTCCTATAGGACATAATGTATGAAGACTTCCAACTTGAGATTCTCACACACACCCACATTAGGCTAAGGAATTCTCCTCCTCTCTCCCCTCTTTCCAGCCCTAAGCCATCAGTATAACTGTGGGAACAGGGCTTCCTCCCAGAGAAGCCTCTGGGGACGTCTCTGTATCTTGAACACATTCCCACAACTTTTTTTTAAATATATTTTTATTGATTTCAGAGAGGAAGGGAGAGGGAGGGAGAGATAGAAACATTGATTGGCTGCCTCCTGCACAACCCACCCTGGAGATCCAGGCCACACTCAAGCATGTGCCCTGACCGAGACTCGCTCTGTGACCTCTTGATGCTTAACCACTGAGCCGTACCAGCTGGGCTCCACAATTTTTTTTATTTCTTCTTTTTCTGTGTTCTGTGGATTAAACTGGCTGCTTCTTTTTCTTAATGCCATTACCTAACTTTCTTCTACTTAGACTCTGGGAAGAGAGAGCCCTGTCTCAAGAATGTTGCCCCTACTCTCCTATCCTCTGGGAATTCGTCCCTTCCTTGCAAAGCTTTTCTCAAAATGCGTATTGCTGTCAGAGATAGCAGGACCATTCAGTAAACAAGCTCCTTCCTCTGCTTGTCCTTTTGCTCTTTGGTTTTCAGAAGACATTGTGAGGAGGCTAGAGCCCATGGACTGGTAGGGAGCTCAGGATGAATAAGATTTCTGGGGACCCAAAAATTCACCAGAAATTATATGTAGAATTTTCTATTTGTACATGTTTCCTAGGTAAATCACGTTTAACAGAGCTCCTGAAGAGCAGAAACCCAGATTAACTGGAAGCGGTCTGCCTAGCCATAATATTGTTGTCTTTTTTTTTTTTTTTTTTTTTTTTACAGAGAGGAAGAGAAAGGGATAGAGAGTTAGAAACATCGATGAGAGAATCATCGATCAGCTGCCTCTTGCACATCCCCAGTAGGTACATGCCCTTGTCCAGAATTGAACCTAAGACCTTTCAGTCCACAGGCCGACGCTCTATCCACTGAGCCAAATCTGTTTTGGCTATTGTTAAGACTTTAGATTACATATAAGACTCAAATACAGAGAACCAGCTCACTTCAGTGCCTCTTGCCTCACGAAGATGGAAAAGCTGTTACAGCTTCCCTGCTACTTGTGAACTCCCAGGGCGATGCTTGCCACCTGCCGGGAACTCCGGAGGTGTTTGTGGAGGAAGTGTGGACTTGAAGAACAAGGTTGCTTGGGGTTGGATTGGAAATGGACTGAGATTAGGGAAATTTTCTGGCTCATTGATTAGGAATCAACAGTTTGGGAATGGAGATCGCTGCTCCACAGGTTCACCTTTTCCTCCTTTCACCTCCTAACTGCCTTTGAGTTGACAGCCTGGAATAGAGTCCCATGACTTGAATTAAGCTAATGGATTCCTTCTAGGGACGCTGCTAGCCCATATGGCACCTTGATGTGAGTTAGAAGGAAGGCATCTCTCTGTTGGCGTAGGCCTGGGGCAGGGAGCGGGGCTCGATAGTAGATTAGGATGATTACGATCTAGATTTTAGCCTGACTGCCTCCTCCTTAATAGAGAATGCCTTTATTTCCTGGCTTGACAGGTGTTTGTTTTTTATTGTTATTTTGTTTTGTTTCTTATTTTAGGAATTTTTCAGAAACTGTTTTGGTTTGAAGAGCAGTTCAGTAATTACTCTTTACACTTGAACAACCTTGCCATTCTCTGCTCATTGACAAACCTGTAGGAAGACTTTAGAGATAGGGTAAAGTCTCTGAAGATGGCACAAAGTTTGTTAGCATTTCGAAAAATCACTACCTAACCGAAGCCGGTTTGGCTCAGTGGTAGAGCGTCGGTCTGCGGACTGAAAGGTCCCAGGTTCGATTCCGGGCAAGGGCATGTACATTGGTTGCGGGCACATCCCCAGTAGGGGGTGTGCAAGAGGCAGCTGGTCAGTGTTTCTCTCTCATCGACATTTCTAGCTCTCTATCTCTCTTCCTTCCTATCTGTAAAAAAATCAATAAAATATATTAAAAAAAGAAAAGAAAAGAAAAATCACTACATAAAGAAAATGGCATGCCCACTACAATAATAATAATATATTTTAAAGGACCTGGGGTGAGTTGCAGAGAAATTCTGGATAGGAATAGTCCACAGGCAACCCAAAAGGTGATGCCTTTTTCTGAGAGGCATTTTATAGATTGAGGACATATATAAAATGAGATCTGTATACAGCAAGCATGTCAAACTCACAGCCAATATATGCGGCCCAGACAATATAACCGTATGTAAGAAACGCTTTAATAAAAATTTAATAACTTAATTTTTACAGTGTCCTGTTACACATAATTATTAGTAACGAACTACAACGTTCACTAATGACTGATTACTATAATCGTGTTGCATTCATTCCCCTTACATTCATTTCTCTCCACTCATATTAGCAGCGAATATTTTAGCAGCCAATTGATATGTCTTAGTCTTGTACTGTCTTGTTCAGTGTGCAAACAGGAGATATTTCACTTTCGGAAAAAAGAAACATAGGTTTATTTGCGTTATGCTTATTAATTTGTGCAGTTATTCTGTGTCTGGTAAGTTAACGTTCAAGAAAAAATATTACTTTTTATTAAAATGTTCTATTATTTTATGTTAACGATGACTCATTTCTTTCAGTCCTTTTTATTCAGCATGTCTCTATCAAAGTAAACCTACATTTCTATGAAAATTGAAGCTTTTGTTTTTTTGCAGCCCACATAAACTTAAACCTTGTTTATTTGGCCCGTGTTAGCCTTTAAGTTTGACATGCTTGGTCTACAGTGTACTTGTTGTGCCTTGAAATAGATACTCATTCTCCTTAGAGACACACATAATTCATGGTAGTGAAGATGTAACTACCCAAGCACATTTTTTTATTTTTTTATATACATATTTTATTGATTTTTTACAGAGAAGAAGAGAGAGGGATAGAGAGAAACATCAATGAGAGAGATACATCAACCACTTGCCTCCTGCACACCAAAGTACATGCCCGCAACCAAAGTACATGCCCTTGATCGGAATCAAACCCGGGACCTTTCAGTCCACAGGCTGACACCATTTTCACTGAGCCAAACCAGTTAGGGCCAACCACATTTCTTTAAAGGGACATGTTTTATGTCAATCAATTATTTCTTTTCTTTATCACAGAAGTGCTTGACATTTAATCCAGCCAAGAGAATCTCTGCCTACGGCGCCCTGTCTCACCCATACTTCCACGACCTGGAGAGGCGCAAGGAGAACCTGGATTCCCACCTGCCGCCCAGCCACAACAGCTCGGAGATGAATATAGCCTGAGCTCGGGCCGCTGCCTGGAGCGGATCCCCGGAGAGCACCTTCGGAGCCTGAGGGGTTCCCCTGCGTAAGCCCCGCAGAGCTGGGGAAGATCGCCGGCTGGGGCCCTGCCAGCCGCTGTTCTGATGGGCTCTGCTTCTCCGAGGAAACCGCTCAGTTTACTGTTCGAAACCAATGCAAAAGTGATTGCAGCTTTATGTTCATTCGTTATGTGTTTGTCTGTTTGTCTGTTTGTTCGTTTGAAAAACCTGGAAAAATTCCAGAAGAGAAGCTGCTGACCAATCGTGCTGCCATTTCATTTTTCTAACCTTGAATGCTGCCAGTGTGAAGTGAGCAATCCAGGCACAGTGGCTTGTGATGGATCTCCCTGCAGCTGCCGGGCCTGATTTGGTACTTTTGAATGAACGCAATGAGTGAGTGTGTGTGTGTGTGTGATTTTTTGATCTCTTAAAGGGTTACTCTCTGTAAACGACGAGAAGAATTGAATTCTGGGGATTCAAAGTGGTGATGCATAAGTAACAGGCTCCTCCAATTAGAGAGCTGAGCCTATGTCCTCAGAATTTCTCTTCTGACCACAAGTAGTAAATTTCTTCGTAGTGAAATGTTCACTATCTAGATGAAGTTTTAGACATACATCAAAGAGGGGTGGGGGGAATCTAGTATCTTTAAGAGACCTGTTTTTTAAAGCACACATTTCACTTACTCTTCCAAAAGCTGAATTTACTCATTCGAAGTACATTTAAAACCTGTATAATATGCTTTATTGTTTCTTTTTCAAAAATACCCTATCAGCGCCTTTCTTTCTTGCTATATAGTTTTAGGGAATGTACCTCAAATAGGTCCAAAACATAGAGAAAGCCTTTATTTCCTGGTTTGAAATGTATTTCCTTTTTGGTTCTTTTGTTGTTGTTCTTGATGATTTTAGGAATTTGTCAGAAACTGTTTCCTAGTTTGGTGTAGGGCGTCGTTCTCTGACTAGAGACAGGAATGCCATTTAAGTTTTCCCCACCTGTGACACTGTACTTTTCCCACAATGCACTGCCTTGTTTGCCAGGTAGCCACCTTCTCTATCCCCCGCGCCTCTGATAAATATTACTATCCTTGCATTACGGAGAACAGATCGCTTTTGCTGTTTGCATGCACTTTCTTCTTTCTTTCAAGGAACCTTTTCATAAACAGATTCAGACTATGGTTTATGGCTCTTAATTCCACGATCCTAACAGGGTCCCTAGGTTCTCGTTCTAATGCAATCTTCCTACCCCGTTCATTCCCCTTGTCGCCTAGGCAATGAGTGGGAGACCAGCACCTAGATGGCTTTAAACTGTTACTTAGTGTCCTATGTTTTTATGGCGTGTGTTGTCAGTGTAGTATCTGAGGGAATACCTTTAACTATTTTTTTTTTCCAAAAGAAATATTTACTCTGATCTTTCCTCCTTCCTCCAGGCTGTGCTCCTTTCCAGTGCCTCGTGCACACTCCTGCTCTCTGCGGAGCCAGCTGACTCGGGCATTGTGAACAGCTTTACTCTTCCTCTTACCGCCTTTCTCTGTAGATACTTTATATTTCATGCCATCTCTGCCTTATTTTTTTGGTGAGTGCTCATTTGGCTCTAATAGCCAGAAGGCACAGATTAAGTATGTTTGAGGAATTTTAGCTGCTTTGCCTTCTGACTCATGTTTTGAGCTCATGCAACCATTAGACCATGTTCTAGGGTTAGAGTTTTCCATGCATGGACATTGCTTCGCTGAGTAGAAAATATTCCAGGTGATGTTTGTGCATAGTCAAGCCTTACCGAATTCCTCACAGCTTAATAATGTATAGGACCATCTTGAACAAGGGAAAAATTGGAAGTTTTCTCCTTGACAGTTTTTTGGATCAGGAACCATTCTTTTTCATACTTTTTTTTTTTTTTTAAATAGTGTTCCGATTCAGTAACTCGAACAGCAGGAAAATTATTCTAAAGCAAGATATGGTGCTGCCCTATGAACCAGATCACAGTTCGGTTCCTGGTCAGGGCACATACCTAGGTTGCAGGCTTGATCCCCGGTAGGGGACGTGCAGGAAGCAGCCTATCAATGATTGTCATTACTGATGTTTCTGTCTCTCTCTCCCTGTCCCTTCCTCTCTGAAATCAATAAAAATATATTTTTTAGAAATAAGTAAAATAAAGATACGGATGGGAAGATGGGCCATAAGAATGTTTTACACTTTCTCCACATGTTTTGTCACCACTGTAAATGCTTGAGATATAATGAATCCAGAGCATTTAGGAGTAGGTAGCTGGCAGTCTCCCAGGGAAATGTGAGTTCTGTCTTTTCTTTTGGTTGGGAGCATTATACAAAGATGTTTTTGCTAGGGCCTAGAAATTAGATTTTAAAACTCACTGCACTGATAGATTATGAGCTTTTCTGTTAGTATTCATGGCTAGAGTGAACATAACTTGAGTTTTTGCTTTTGCAAAAGTTTTCACAAGTTTGCTCTAGAAAAATACAGCTGTTCTAAACTGGAATTTTTTTCAGCATTCTTTAGAATTTTAAACCAATAAGAGCTCAACTTTTATTTCTAGCATATTCTTCAGGGTCATTTCTCAGTAGGGTTGATAAAGAGAACTTAAAGCACACACTTTAAGGTATTAGATCTTTGGCAGGTTATCCTCTGCGAGACAGAATGAGAGGGCATCTCAGCCTCTCTGAACTTAGTCTGTCTCAGCTTCTCCACGATTGTGGCTGTGACACTTGAGTGATTATTCTCTTGTTTTCTGTTACTTCCACCTGGCTCACCAGGTCTGAAATCCAGATCCCATACAAGCGCTCTTGCCGTTAGGTTCTTTGAAGCATATAGCAGAGCGCAAACTTACTAAATGCAGCATATTCTGTGACATAGGTTTTCAAACATTTTTGCTAGGAGCTAAGCAGTGGTCATCTGCAAAGATCAGACATGGAAGCAGCTTATAGCAGTAGAAAAACGGTGAACGATTTGAAATCGCATTTGAATTTCTCTCCAGGACTGGTCCAAGAATGTACATGACAGTTTCTATATCATATTCCATCCTGGCAGCCCAGGCATTGTGGGAACTGTTGTGCAGGGTAGACTTGTAAAAACCTCCATTTAAAAAGAGAAACCTGCCCTTTTAGTCATGTTAGCTAGCTGTTGCAGGGCAAAGGTTAATCAAGACCTGACCCTATCACCTTAAAAACACAATTTCTAAGAGCTTCTGAGAATCAGGTGCATTGGAGCCTCCCACCTCGTCTCCTTTGAAGTGGGTGGGAACTCAAGGAGCAAAGAACCAGTTCCGGAAGAAAGCTCTGGGCCACTTCAGATTCTTTCATTCTCATGGTTTTCCCTCAGGAAGCAGGCACTGTGCATGGCAGGCTTTTCATTTAGCCCCAGGTGACTTACTAAAAATAGTTCAAAATATTAACCTAAGGATAGAATCTCAGCCTTTTAGTTATAAGTAAAAAACAAATATTTCAAAATGCACAGGATGTTAATATTTTAAAGAAAACATGCACTTTTTAATAGAGAAATTTATAGTTTGACTCCAGGACGTGGTCCTATCCATAATGATGAGGAAAAACACTTAAATTGTACCAAACATTTTGAATCTTAAATTATGTATTTAAAATAAGCTTTTAACCAACGATAGCTCCTTCTCTTAAAAGTAAGTGCCAGTAAGAGTCAGTAACGGCAATTTCTACCCGTTACAAAAATTTAATCATGTAAGCTTCCTAATATAAACATATTAAATTTCTTCTCTCCAAAGAATTGCATCTTTTAAGTGACAACTTGACTATTTTTATAATAAGCTCATGAGAGTTATCACATTTTCCAGAAGCAGGCTTGTGTTGCATACTTGGCTCTAAGAAAGAATAATGTTAAAAGTTTAATAATCCCTGAAAATTACTTGTGTTCATATAAAGACTAGAGAATATTTACTTTGAAAAGAGAATATTGAAATGTTACCAATTCTTAGGTATTGTTAGAATTCATAAGAATGCATGTTTTACATTGTGATATAAAAATAAAGATCTTAAATTATTGCTAATCCTTTAAAAATAAAAAAGAGCAAGCAGTCGATAGAGGAAATTCTAGAGAAAAATGAAGGTATTCAAAGAAGGATATTTGAAAGTGAAATATATTTTGAGGGATATATATTTTAACAAATATATTGTGAGAATTGATGCTGAAGTCATCTGACAACTATGAACTTGGAAAAGCCATTTTAAACAATTACCATTTCAAAAATTGAGCCGAGCAAACTAAACCATCTTGTTCCTTTCTCATTTCATGGAAAAGAGCAGCCATATGAAGCTACACTTGTTATGCAAGTCTTAGATTGTTCTTTTTTTAAAATAAATAAATAAATAAATTTTTAAAAGGCATGTACTTCCTATGCCACTAGGACTTTTGAATCATTGTGAAACCCAAACCATTTATCATGTGCATGTGCATTTAATGCATGCAGATATATGAGTAGGAGGATAGTTCCATGTTTCTCCTCTGCAAGTGGAAGAACTTGAGGCGACCAAAAAGCTGTCAAAGCAACATGAGTCCTCAGAAGGTTAGTAATGGTGTTTTCCTCAAAAGCATAAGAAAAATAGCACTTTTATTTCTTATCAATGCAATTTTCAACCTAGTTCTGTTCCATACCTATATCTCAAGCATTTCTAACATCTGCTTTTTCAGAAAATAAACCAAAAATATTCTTTTGGCCTTTTCTATTATCTGACCTTTGGAAAACAACAAAGAGAGGAGGGTTCTGATTTTTCTCAATTAGTTGTGTGTGGGGTTTTTTTGTGTGTGTGTGTGTGTTTTTAATGAAGTATGAATGGGCTTTTCAAAATAACTTCTATTTCTCAGCAATCCAGGGAGTTAATTTAGATAAATGAACAGACTTCCATCAACATACTTGTCTCCTTGATACTGGTGCTCTGGCCTTCAAGAAAAAAACAAGAGCCACCTGAAAATAAATAATGGCCTTTTTCAGGCAGCCATTTAAGTTCTGTTACGGCAATTGGGAGCTAATATCTTAGGGAAAAGGGTCTTTTAAAATCCATACTCCTTTGAGCTTCTTGTTTTATTCCAGTATATTCCACAAGGTGGCACTTTTCTTGGAGGCTGGGAAGGGGGTTGGAGGGAGCGGGAATCTGAGCTAGGCTAATGAGGTATTTCTGAAGACTTCATTCTAATGGTATTTTTGTGCACATACTTAGCTCTTGTGTAGAACTTGTTTTTTAGGAGGCAGGTAGTCTTCACACTATTCTGTAACTTAGATATTGTAGGTGTTAGCTAAGTTCTGAAGGATTGTAATTAAATTTTTCTGGAGGATGGATTCATCCTCTCATTGCGATCATTTAAGTGGGTAAGGGAAGCTTAGGCATTCATTTATTTAAGAAGCATTTTTGAGGTACCTAATTACCTCGCTTTTCTAGGTGCAAAGGTTTCCAAGGTGGGCAGGCTTGTTCCTAAGAAGGCAGCACTAGGTCTTGTTAGGAGCGTAACACTCCACCAGTGCCCCTGCCACCTACCAAGCCCCTGTTTGCTGCTTTCACATCCCGACATCCCCTGCCATCGTGGCCTTCGGACATTCATTCAATTCTTAGTCCTAATTTAAAAATCAGGTGAACAAAATAAGTAGCACATAATTTACTAAATAGCAAATCTATGTTTTCTAAAGAACTGGCTGTGCCGACACAGCCCTGAAATACTAAAAGACCTGCTCACTTCTACATTTGTATAATCCCAAGTGCAACTTCACAAGAAATTAGAATTTAAACATGTTTTGTCTAACCATGTGAGTATGATCATTTAGGAGCATATAGCTACACAAGTCTTTAACTTCTCCATTTGTGAAGGTCTTGGCAACTTTATCATAGCTATAAATATGGATATCCATATACTCATGTTTGAATTCATAGGTCTGCCCAAAAACCCATTACCCCTTACCCCCTCCCACCCACCACCCACCCCCGGTTTTAATTCATTTTAGAAGTCCCTTTCCCCAGTGAGTGTCACTGAAATTGAGGAGGAAGGAAATGACAGTATTTTTCCAGAGTTTCCTTCACCCAGCATAGCAGAAGGCCGTTTATTCCTGAGGAGGGAGAGAGATCCCACGGTGCCTGCCTGGCTTTCCCGAAGGGTGGCCAGCAGGCACGGTGTCAGCAACGCACACTGAATCCAAATAGCGCACACACTAGAGGCTGGCCAAAAGCTCTCCTTCCTCTGCTTAAACCCCCCCTGAAACAGGTTACCACGTAAGGCCGAATTCACACCACGAGTTTGGTTATCCCTTGGGCCAGTCTTAATTCTGCCCCCAAGACTTGGGGGCGCTGCCCCGCCCCGCCCGCCCCTCTGGCCATGGGGGCAGCGGGCGGGTGACCGGACCCCCGCCTTGCACCTGTTGGCGCCGCCCCGCCGCCGTGCGGACCGGCCCGGCCTGCAGGCTGGCCTGGCCCCGCGCCTGCTGCTGTCCCACAGGCACCTGTCCTGCCGGCTCCGGACGTCAGATGTCCCGGGAGGTAGAGGGGTGTCTTCTGTGCAAAAATAAGTACAACACGATGCTCCGGGAGTTCAGGTAGTAAAGAGATGCTGCTCTGTAGGAAGCTGTCTGTCAGCCAGGCATCTCGCAAGCTCTAAGCTCAGTTGCTTTTTTTTTTTTTTTTTTTTTTTAAGAGGATATGTATCATTACAGGAGAGATTTTTTTTTAATTTTTCTATTCTAGATATATGATGGCAAAAGATATGCCTGCAAGGATTGTGTGTGTGTGTGTGTGTGTGTGTGTGTGTGTGTAACTTGTTTATTTTTCTGCTTCATCCTCAGTTGGCAAAAGCTCCTAACTCTTTTGCTCCTTTTTTTTTTTTCTTGTCAAGTATAATAATTAAAGGTATATAAGCAAAGTATCTCCTGTAGTAGGGGATTTTTTTCCCTGGTTAGAGGAACTTTTTGTGTGAATTGTGTTTTTTTTTAAGCAAATAATCCTTTACTTTAGGAGTTTGGATTGTCAAATGTAGGTTTTTCTTCAAGGGGGCACATGCCTGTACATAGTACTGCCAAGGACCATGACTGTAGCACTCGTCCGCAAGCATACGGGTGGAGCCACACGGTGAAGTCCCAGCTCTCTGTGGTCTCGCCAGATTCCCTTGATGTGCTTAGGTTATAGTCCTGCAGACGCCCTTCAGACCCTCGCTTGAAAGTTCCTGATTTTAAGTTTCATGCCATGCTATACCGTGTATTAGCCAGCAATATGTTCTGTGCTCACCAGCCACTCTTGAATTTGACCTTGAAGTCTCTGATTAATGAAAATAGATTTCAGCAATAATACATTTATTGAACACCCCCTCCCCAAGTGCATTATATATCTTCTCATTTTGGTCCTGTGTTTGCAATGATGTATATGTGACTGTTATTGTTCCTCACTTATTCACATTCACTTATTTTGTTATGACAAATAATAAACCCCATTAGTCCATGGAGTGAATAGCACCAGTGACCCCTAGGATCAGCACTTAACGTGGTAAGGAATACCTATTTCGAGTTTTTCTACTTTTGCATAAATTATTTCCTATTATTATTCATTTATATTATTTATTGCAGCATCACACTAGTCCTGTGAAAGCACAATTGAAGGTGGACCGCATTAGGGTATGCATTTAACCTTCATGGTCCATGGTCTTCACAGAGCCAAGAGAGTAAAAAAAAAATTAGACTAAGCCCCCTTCCCCCCCACCCCACCCCCCAGTAAGCTGCATGCATTTTAACATGATCGTAGAATTTAAGTCTATAGATAAGAGTGTGTTTATGTCTAGATGTTTTAATTATCATTATGTAAAGGAATTGAGGCATACGACTTGGTAGTTGTTCTTTTGTCAAATATGCACATGATAATACAGTGTGAAAAGATAGCAACAAAAAAAAACTACAGGCAGAAGAGCGCCAGACGCTGCCTTGCTTTAGGAGCTCTGCCCCATGGCCATCGGCGCTGATGTCTAGAGAAGAGCCACGTGGAGCTAGAGCCCTCTCCGGCATGGTGTGCAGGAGCGGGAGCAGGCCGTCCTGCAGCAGGGAGAGCAGTGTGAGAGTTTTCTCTAGAGGCAGAACCGTCAGCTGGTGCCTTGAAGCTTCCAGAATGTGCTAGATGGGGGAATCCCAAGTTTCCATGCGTCTCACGGAAGACGTGGTTTTGTGCAGAAGCAAAATCCAGTCCGGCAGTGAGAACAAGGTCTGCGTGTACAACAGTCAGCGGTGGGACCTTAATCACTACCAATTCCCAACAGCCTCACAAGCTTGTTGCATTTCTGGTGTTTTAGGTTTTGGTCTGAAGGTTAAATGGCAGGTGTTTGGTCCAGCAGAGCAGGGTGTGTTAAGAGAAGCACAGTACCAGGGCCCACAGGGGGCAGGTTCGAACAAGAGGGTCTTGCAGGATTGTTGTTTCTGAGCTGAGTGAAATAATGTAGTCGTGGTTCTGCTTTCCCGCAGGGCCTAGTGAACACATTCTTCTAGGTTTCAGCAAGGATGTCACACCCAGTGAGCTTTTTTTTTTTGCTTTTCTTTTACTTACTAGTCTAATGTTCTAAGAATAGGAAAAAAATCTTGATTTGAACATTTGCTTTGTTGGTTTCTGTGTTTGAAGTTACCTTTCTGGAGGTGTAGAGAGTGTGCATGTGCGTGTCATATATTAATCTAGGCCGTATGAACCAGCCCAGGAGAGCCAATACCCACCCATCCCCTGCATCTCTTCCTGCCTCCCTCGGAGGTGCTCCCTTCCCTCATCCTGGCTGGTCCATGTGGTGCTCTCCCTCCTCCTCTGCTGCTCTTTGGGCATCAGGGACATGATGAGCAAGACTTTCGGCATCACTGGTGTGCTCAGGCATGGTCACCCCGTCCTTCCCGGACCTCCAGCTGGCCACCGTCATCAAGAGAAGGTTCCTGGTGCTGGGCACAGAGCGTGCTCACAACACCAATCCCACATGCTCTCTAGTGTCTTTGTACATACCTTGATTTTTAAGCCACATCACTCTACAGAGCATTCAGTTTGGGCTACAATACAAAGAGGAAAAAAAAACTAACCAAGAATACAAACCACAGTTCAGGATGCTGCTTTCTGTCCATTTACAGGCTATCCTCTTACTGTATTTCTTCATACTTGAAACTCATTCCGCTATTTTTAATATCAGGGTACAGACCTGTAAGGGTGCATGTTTCTTAAAGGTGCAAAAATCACTCCCATTCCGTTGGCTCGTTGTGGCTACAGAATACTCTGGTTTGGTGCTTTGGGTTCAGCAGGTCAGAGAAGCAGTGTGGAAATTTACTGCCTGGAACACAGTCTTACAAGAATGTTGGCAGATGGCTTGATGCTATTACAGATAAGGCTCTGCTCTTTCGTCTGTACACAAGGTGGCTGAGAGTTACCGTACTGGCCTGGCAGGTTCAGCTGGGTACCCTTCCTCACAGGGCACAGAAGCCCTGTGCTCTCCAAAAGGGGGGGAAGGGGGATGTGCAACCCTCTGGAAGCAAGAAATTTCCCTACATATCAGGATCATTTACCTTTAAAGAAAAATGGCCTCTGGCATAGACAGGATCAGAATGGGGAGGACTCTAGTGACCATCCCTCCTTTCCATACTGAAAACCCTCCTGAGGCAAAAAAAAAAAAAAAAAAAGAAAAAAGAAAAAAGAAAAAAAAGAAAATAAAGCTTATCTGTAAAGTTATCCTCTTCACAGTACCCTGAGCTGAATAATCTTGAATAAATGAAAATGCAGGTCAGTGGATCTGGACCTGAAAAAGAAAGTAAAAAAAGTAGGTGTCTGTGTAGGTGAAATATGCAAGCTAATGGCCACCAAAACGTCCATTAAATTCCCCACCATCACCCATTTTCAAAGCTCAAGGAAGGAATGTTTTATGACCCCGGGTTTCTGAAGTCAGTGGTAGCCGTTCTGGCACGCCCCTTACTCTAAGAATTCCTTGGGAAGAGAGCTGCCCATAGTGAACGCTGCAATGGCCAAGGTATCATGTCAGAACATTCAGAGGGTTGCAGATCAATAATCCTTTGGAAACTGGATGTCTTACTGGGTGCTAGAATGCAAAATTAAGGTATTTATTTTCAGATCATGGAAAAATTTTTTTTTTTTTTTTTTAAGAAATGGTATTGACATGTCATTGTCCAGTTCATTGTTTTCTCTTATGCACAAGCTCAACGGAAGCAACAACAACAACAAAAAAAAAATGCTTTGTATATTTGTCATGCTTTCTGTATTTCTTACAAGAAGAATATTAGTAGCAAATAAAAATAATAAACGCAGCGATTTGAACAGCTTTCTTTGAGATGCGTTACTATCCTAGCTACTTTTTATTATAATGTAAAGTGAATGTAATCGCCGTCGGTAAAGTAATATTTAATAAAATAAGTTTTAGCAGAATGTGTTTTAAACTTTGAAGAGCCCCCTTTTCAGGCTTCAGCTGTTTTCAAAAAGTAAATAGCAGCTCCTCGCGCTTAGAGCTTCGGTAACAGATGTTAAATAAGCTCTTACGAGTTGACCGTGCTAAGCACTGAGGAGCTGAAAATGAGGAAGGCATGGGCAGTCCCTTCTGACGCTTACAGATGGAATCTGTGGAAAGGTTTGGAAGACCAATTGCTGATAACCTGGAGATGATCCAAAAGTTTCATCAGAAGTGCTGTTTGAATGAGCTCAAAACAAGTCAGTGTTTGCCAGCCCCACAAGGAAAAATACTTCCCGTGTGCAGAGGCATGCCGTTCTGAAAGAGCGGGCAGCAAGCTTGCAGAGGCCACACCTGGGCCAGTCGCTTTCAGACCTCTGGATCATAACCTACAGCAAAAACAGAATCTAACTGCCTCATCTGGGTACATACACTGAATGGCCAGATTATTATGACCTCTGAACACATAATAATCTGGCCACTCGGTGTTTATCCTATATAATAAAAGATTAATATGCAAACTGTCCCCTTGACCAGCCACTCATGGCCAGGCTGGCCAGACCCCACCCACGCACGAATTTATGCACCAGACCTCTATTTTATACACACACACGTACTCACACACACACATATATTAATATATACACACTGAGTGGCCAGATTATGAGTTCAGATATCCTAATAATATGGCCACTCAGTGTATACACACACAGGGACATATATCGGAAACTTGTATTTTACAAAATGATGCTATGTGTCCCATACATGTCCTCTTGTATTTTATTATCCTCCCCGCTGAAATCACTGATAGCAACCCGCCAAACTGATTTCAGAACCCCACTAATAGGCCCTGACTTAATATTTGAAAACAATTAGTAAAGGGGTGTGTACGAAGGAGCCAGGAAGTGATGTCATGAAGGGCTCACTGTGCCATAGAAAGGAGTCTGGAATCACCGAAGGATTGAAGAGGGGGATAATATCTATTCATGTTGGCCCATTTTTGTTCAACCACTTATATACTAGATGCAGAGTGACAGACCAAGCAGTTCCTAGATGCACACAACAAACCAAAAGTGGGATCATAGCTTCTGTCTGATGCATGTTCCCCTCTGTGGACAATACCAGGTGTTTTTAAATATATATTTTATTGATTTTTTACAGAGAGCAAGAGAGAGGGATAGAGAGTCAGAAACATCCATGAGAGAGAGACCACCGATCAGCTTCCTCTTGTACACCCCCTACTGGGGATGTGCCAGCAACCAAGGTACATGCCCTTGACCGGAATCGAACCTGGGACCTTTCAGTCCCCAAGCCAACGCTCTATTCACTGAGCCAAACCTGTCTCGGCTCAAGTAAATTTCTATTGATTGCGGCGAACAACCTAATACAGCTTCCTCCTCCGCTCTATCCGCACGGCAGCTGGGGGCCCCTGCTCTGCGTTGTAACTTAAAGCTAGTGAAAAGCTAAGTTGAAAAGTTGTGTCCTTATTTCAGTGTAGATAAGAACAACAAAATATTAGAGCCTGCACTTTTCAAATTGGGGTTCCCAGAAACCTGGGGTATACAAGGGTGGGTACAAAACTAGATAAACAAGGTCGACCTTCCTCAATACTCAATTTTACTTAAGAGAAAAATGTTTCTTATCAAAGATGCTCTTTTTAAAATGCATTTTTAAAAATGTAGGATAGAATGCGAAATTCCGATTTTTAAAATAACATAGCCAACTTCAAAGACATTTTATGATTTTTAATAACTGCACAGGACTATGCCACCAGATCCCCTGGACACAACTCACTCTCCTGTGGAAAATTTCGAGAAGTACTGTATCGGCCGAGAGGAGGCAGCACTTGGAATGGGGCCCGTTGTTCTGCATGCTTTGCCTCCTGTGGTCTCTAGGATTCCTCATTGGGAAATGACATCTGTTTGGACAGTATATTCAGAAACCTGATAAGATAAGCGGGTGCAGCAAAAAATGGCACTCTCTAGAGGAGAAGGAGGTTCAGTAAACCCAAGGGCCAAGCATTCTGGAATATTCCATAAAAACTATATCTTATTTCATCAAGTCATTCTTATGGTATAGTCAGTTCTGGAATAAGATTGCATATCATATGTGCAGAAATACAGCCAAAACCCGTTTGGCTTAGTGGATAAAGCATCGGCCTGCAGACTGAAGGATCCCGGGTTCAATTCTGGTCAAAGGCATGTACCTTGGTTGCAGTTGCGAGCACATCTCCAGTGGAGGATGTGTAGGAGGCAGCTGATCAATGTTTCTCTTTCATCGATATTTCTACCTCTCTCGCTCCCTTCCTCTCTGTAAAAAATCAATAAAATATATATTTTTTAAAAAGATTGCATATGACATGTAAGAAATACAATTGCAGCCAAAATTGGTTTGGCTCAGTGGATAGAGCACCGGTCTGCCAACTGAAGGGTCCCAGGTTCAATTCCGATCAAGAGCATGTACCTTGGTTGCAGGCACATCCCCGGTGGGGGGCGTGCAGGAGGCAGGTGGTCGAAGTTTCTCATCGATGTTTCTAGCTCTCTATCCCTCTCCTTTCCTCTCTGTAAAAATTTAATAAAATATATATTTTTTTTAAAAAATAAATACAATTGCATACTTGAGGCTCTGGAGGTGCCTGGAACAGAGTAGAAGTTCAATTTGTGTTGAATGAATAAGTGAATGAGTTTCCAGTGATCAGACAATTTATAAGTAACTGTCAATATAAAATGATTACATGCTCACCACAAAGTACTTAAAGAACACAAAAACTACAAAGAAAAAAAAGCATTTCTTAAAATGCCACCTTGTAAATAAAAATAATTTCTAACATTTTGATAAGTTTTATATACCAAGCTTTACATATATATACATGCAAGTTATGGAACTGTAAATTTACTCTTGGAGATGAGCATAAAATATCTCATATAATAAGAAGAAAACTTAAAAGGAAATCTTGTGACTGGGTTAAGCAAACATTTCTTAGAGAAGACACAAATCCTACATAATATGCAAATTGACCCTCACACCTTCACAAGATGGCTGCCTATGACCAGGCTGGCAGGGGGGTTAATGAGGGATGACCAAACAACTGAACAAGCAGGCTGCATGGGGCAACCAGACCAACTAGAGGTGGGCAGTTGGAGGTGACCAAGCTGGCAGCTGGAGGCAATTCGGAGCAACCAGGCAGGCAGGCAGGTGAGTAATTAGGAACCAGCAGTCCAGGATTGTGAGAGGGATGTCTGACTGCCAGTTTAAGCCTGGACATCCCCCAAGGGGTCCTGGATTGGAGAGGGTGCAGGCTGGGCTGAGAGGACCCCCCACCAACACCCCATGCATGAATTTCATACACTGGGCCTCTGGTAGGAAATATTGATAAATAGTACTCCATCAAATTTAAAACTTTGGCTCTTTGAAAGATGCTAATAAATAAATAAATAAAAAGGCAAACCACCAATTGGAAGAAAAATATTGCAAAACATTTTGGCAAAAGATTGGTATTCAGACAAATAATCTACTTTTTTATTTATTTTTTTATAATAATCTACTTTTTTAAATGGGAAAAAGATTTTAAATGACACCTTACCATTTTATAAAAATAAAAATAAAAAACCTGAAAGGTGAATAACTGCATTAGTCACTAGGGAAATATAAATTAAAATCACAATGAGGTATCACTACACACCTACTAGAATAGCTAAAATTTTTAGACTTGGGAACACCAAGTATTAGTAAATATGTGAAACAACTAAAAATCTCACCATTGATCTTGGGCGTTAAAGGTAAACATACTTATCATTCAATTCAATGAGCTACAGTTTAATGTATTTACAGTTCAACTAGGCATTTAACTTGAAAGAAATGCTAACATACACAGGAACTCCTAGATATGAATGTTCATAGCAGCTTTATTCCAATAGGCAGAAAACAATCCAAATGCCCATCAAAAAGTCAATGAATATGTAAAATGTCATTTATAAATACCATGGCTACTACTTAGCAATAAAAGGGAACAGCTGTTGATATAAATAACACGGGTGAATCTCAAAAGTATTATAAATGAAAAGAGGTCAGACACGAAAGTCTACCTCCTATTTGATTCCTTTTATATGAAACTCTAGAAAAAACAAAAAACAAATCAGTAGTTTTCAGGGGCTAGAAGACAGGGAATGGGATTAATTAAAAAGAAATACAAGGTACCGTAATTTTTTAGAAAAAATAAAAATGTCCTATATCTTGATTGTAGTGATTACATGACTGCATACATTTAACAAAACTCATCAAACTGTACATTTTAAACTGGTAAATTTTATTATATGTAAACTACACTTCAGTAGAGCAGTGTGTTTGTTTGTTTTTAATTAAAGGCATTCTCTTGCAATGCTAACAAAAGCCAACCTGAAATAAGAGGCCAAAAACTTATAGTTAGTGAATCACTTCAGTAAGGATGGGACAAGGGGAGAGAGAATATTAGGAATTTTCCCTTCTGAATCATTTTACTTGGTAACTTCCACTGCCTTTGCCCATTATTAGTACTGACCTAGAGGTTTATTAAAGTGAATCATTACTTGCATTTAATTATTCAAAATCCTGGTTTTAAAAAAATCATCTTTATGTCTTTTACACCAAGAAACATACCTGTCAAGAGCACAAGGTAATCATGTTTACTGGTCATTGTTTTTTCTCTATGTAGGTAAAATTACATCCAGAAGTTACATGGTGAGTGTGGAGTCAGAGAAAGGGAAGATGACTAGCTGAACAATCTTTCATAAAATAAATCAGAAAAGAAGGGAATAAGGAGAAAAATAAAAATATCTATGCCTCATCCCCCTCAAGCCACTAGTACTATTATGAAGTAACCAACACTAAGGTTTTATTGGGTAAACTTTGTGTGTGTGTGTGTGTGTGTGTGTGTGTGTCTGTGTGTATATATATTATTGCTTTTTTATAGAGAGGAAGAGAGAGAGCTAGAAACATCAATGAGAGAGAAACATCAACCAGCTGCCTCCTGCACACCCCGCGCTGGGGATGTGCCCGCAACCAAGGTACATGCTCTTGACCGGAATCGAACCTGGGACCCTTCAGTTGTCAGACTGATGCTCTATCCACTGAGCCAAACCGGCTTCGGCATGGACTAACTTTTGAATCCCCTAGAATGAGTACTTCAGGCCATCAGAAATGGAAGAAAGCAAAAACAACCCAACGCCAAAAGGAGGTAGGCGAGCTGTCCTGGTGAAGGCTGCTTGCTGTACAGAGAGCCTGTCTCTGGCTGTCGGTCAGGAACTGGACCAGGGGGAGGGGGGGGCGCCGGCCTCTCCTCCGCGCCGGTAGGTGGCGCTGTGGCCAGCCGCGGCCGCCGGTGCGCGCGGCGGCGCCGCTCTCGGGGCGGGGTGGGGCCGTCGCCAGAAGGTCTGGTGAGCGCCCGCTTCGGTCGCTCCACTGCCCGTCTCCCTCGGCGCCCGCCCGCCCGCCCGCTCAGCCCTGCACCATGGGGAAGCGGGACAACCGGGTGGTGAGTATCTGGCGGGAGGAACCGGGGGGCGACGCGGGGCCCGCGGCGGAGGAGCGGGGGCCCGCAGCCCGGGCCTGAGGGTCGGTTGCGGCGCTGGGACCCGGAGCCCCAGGCCCCTCCGTCCCAGCCCCCACGCGCGCGAGTCGGGACGCGCGTGCGCCGAGCTCGCCGCTGGCGTCTGGGGGTCCCCGTCACTCTTCGCTCCCTCTTCCCTCCTCTTTGCTCTCCTACCCTTTGCCAGGGCTCCCTGGCTCCCTACCTGCCGAACCGGGGCCAACGTCAACCCCCAGTCCCCCTTTGTTTTTAGAGCTGCAAGAGCTCAGGGGCGCCTGTTGTCTCCAGTAAATCTGAGGTTCATGGAGGCGCGGGGGCTCGCAGCCCGCTGCACCCCGCTTCTGCGCGCCCCTCCCGCGCGCACCCGGGTGGGATGGAGGCGCACCCCGCACCCCGCACCCCGGCCCCGGCGCAGGCGCGCTCCCTCCCGTTTGAAACCCAGCGCGGAGGCGGCGTGTGGCTTGGGGTCCAGCGCTGCCCGGCGCCTGGGGGGCCCCCTGGGAGGAAGGAATGGCGTGCAAGTGGCTGGCTTTGGAGTGGGCTCGGAGTGCTGACTGTGTGGGATATCGGTGTTGATCCCCTCGGGGAAGTTGGGGGACGTGATACAAGTTGCTTTTTTTTTTTTTTTTTCCCTCCGAGCCTCAGTTTCTTCTACTTCTGTACAAGATAAGTGTTTAACCCTCAGCCTGTGTAGCGGAGACCCACACAGAAAGGAACATGGCCAGGCAAGTGCTTGGCGTGGGAGTTGTTATTCTAGTAGAGGAGATTTAAAAAAAGAGAGAGAGAGAGAGAGAAGTGGTTATCTGATGGAGGTGTGAGGCTCCGAGGGCACTCCGCGGAGAAGGTGCTCTTGGCAGGAGGGTTGGGGAAGAAGGCATTCTGCAGGGCTCCGAGGGAAACCCGGTGAGGCCGCAGACTGCATGGGCCGTCCACAAAAAAGATGAGCAGGAAGCGTAGGCGGCGGCCTTACGGGTTCCCAGGCTTGCCTGTGTCGGAGGAAAGTGAATGGACTAAATTGAATGAACTCGCTTTTCTCGATTATTTCCTTTACACAGTTGTTTGTGTGTTGTTGTTTTTTGTGTGTGTGTGTATGTTGTTTATTTTTGTTGTTTTTTGGGGGGGGTTGCTAAATGATCTCTGCTTTTATGAAATGACTAGTGGCTCAGTGCACAAAATTCGTGCCGGGGAGGGGGCCCCCTCAGCCCGGCCTGCACACTCTCCAATCTGGGACATCCCTCTTGCAATCCGGGACTACTGGCTTCGAACTGCTCGCCTGCCTGCTTGACCGATCCTAACCACTCCGCCTGCTGGCCTGCTCATCCCCAACTGCCCACCCCAGCCTGCTTGCCCCCAACTTCCGCCCTCCCTACCCCCCTGCCCGCCTGCTCACCCCCAACTGCCTCCCCTGTTGGCCTGCTCGCTCCTAACTGCCTCTGCATCCCTAACTGCCTCTGCATCGGCTCCGCCGCCACCACCACGGCTTTGTCTGGAAGGACATCCGGAAGGGCTTTGTCTGGAAGGACATCCGGAAGGTCTCCCAGTCTAATTAGCATGTTACCCTTTTATCAGTACAGATGGCATTTTCCATCTTCAGAACGTTTGTTTTAATTTTATGTCGTCTTCATAAGTCAAAGGTGTCTTAGAAACCACTGTAGGGAACGTTGATTACAGGATTGAAGAGTGGTGTTCTCCCGCGTCCCTGGCTGTGGGTCAGAGCTTGTGTCCTGCTTCTGTCCTAGAGTGGAAATGATGGTGGGCCGGAGCATCCTTCAGGCTTGAAGTGCTGAGTGTTTTGGCTCTGTGGTGTGTGTGGGCCTTGAATGTTTAGAATGTAATCAGGCCTCAGGTACAGGTTCATACAGAGGCCTGGAATGTTTTGTTTTACTTGGGAAATGTGTTGGTTTAAAGAATCCCTTTAAAGTATTTGAAAAATGTTCACCAGTGAGCTTTGCTAACCTCAGGGCATTTTGATAACTCTGGGCTCTGCTTATTCTCTGTGTGGTGTCTTGGCGCAGAGTGTTCTGATGACATTTTGTTTGCACTTCAAAAGTTGTTGGTATGAAAACATGAAAAGACACAGATTGTCAAAGTTAGTGTTCCACTGTAATGGAGGAGGCGATGGAACTGTCTAAATTGGGAACAAAGCTTGGATCATCTGACACTTAGCCCAGTAGTACATCATAATTCTTGATTTTAAATAAAATGAAGATATTGGTATTTTTCTTCTTACATTGATAAAATTATAGCTTTAAAGATGGCACAATTGCTTTTTTAAAAACCATTAAATTCCAGAGGGGAAAAAATTTTAAATAGATTATATTTTAGAGCAGTTTTAGGTTCACAGCAAGATTGAGCAGAGCCGAGACCGGTTTGACTTGGTGGATAGAGTGTCCCAGGTTCGATTCCTGTCAAGGACATGTATCTTGGTTGCAGGCACATTCCCAGTGGGGGGTGTGCAAGAGGCAGCTGATTGATGATTCTCTCTCATCGATGTTGAGATCTCTCATCGATGTTTCTAATTCTATTTCTCTCCCTTCCTCTCTGTAAAAAAATCAATAAAATATATTTTTTTTAAAAAAGATTGAGCAGAATCTTGTAGAGTAGAAACAAGTCGAGCTGCATGTATTCCCCTTGCCAGCATGTGCATAGCCTCCCCCATTGTCAACATCCTGCTCCAGGTACATTTGTTACAATGGGAGAACCGACATGACACACCTTTTACCCCAAGTCCATAGCTGCATTAGGATTCACTTTGATATTAAGCATTCATATATATATATATATAATTTTTAAAATATGTTTTATTGAATTTTTACAGAGAGGAAGGGAGGGAGATAGAGAACTAAAAACATCGATCAAGCTGCCTCCTGCACACCTCCTACTGGCGATGTGCCTGCAACCAAGGTACATGCCAGTTAGGGTGATATTGAGCATTCTTGAACAGTGTGTGTGTGTGTGTGTGTGTGTGTGTGTGTGTGTGTGTGTTTTAATTAAACATTTTAATTGTCGAGATTTATAAAGGGCCCTTAAATCATGATGGTCAGTCACTCTTTGTACCCATTGTTTTCCAGAAGTTTCCTTCGTGGTTTTTTTTGTTGTTGTTACTTTGTACTCTCAAAGTAGATGTCTCCTCTAGATAAAAATAGGTAACTAAAGTAGCAAATGAAGTTCTGCACGTTTTGTCCTTAGTTTTACCGTATGCTCTTTCCAACCTGCCCACTTAAATTCCTGTGAGCCCAGTTTGCCATCCTGAGTTTCAAAAACAGATTGTTTTCTTTTACCCAAACTCATGCAGCAGTTTGGAGCCACAGGCTCCAAATATAAAAGCGTGATATGCTAATTAGACCGGACAGTTGAATGGCCTTCCCCTTTCACGATTTTGTGCATTGGGCCTCTAGTTCTTACATATTAATACAAGCATTTAAAGCGATTGAGTGACAGTGAGATGTTTCAAGAAATCACTCAACTTTTTTATTTTAACTAATTCATAACCAACCACCCTCTTAATGTTAGTATTTTCCACACTGAAGCATAACAATAAAAAAGCCTTACCTTTGTAAAAGTTACCTTTTTTGTTTTAAAAGTTTCTCGTGCATAGTAAAAGTATTGTTGCTCAATGATTATGAGCACAAACTGAAGAAGACAAATATCAGATGGTCTCACCTATTTGCTGAATCTAATGAACAAATGAATTGACCAACAAAATAAGACCTGAAGCATGGAGGCATGGAACAGACTGAAACACCCTGATGTTGAGCTGGGGGAATGAGAAGAGATAAACCAGAGAACTTATATACTGACAAATACCATTTGTTTTGATACCATTAATCCTTGCCTTAAACAAGAAACAGAATACTAGCCCTGCTGATGTGGCTCAGTTGGTTGAGTGTTGTCCCGTGCACTGAAAGGTTGCTTGATGATGGATTCCCCAGAAGGGGGCATGTAGGAGGCAGCCAATTGATGTTTCTCTCTCATGTAGTTGTTTCTCTCTCTCTCCCCCTCTCCCTCATTCTCTAAAATAAATAACATTTTTTAAAATGGCTTAATAAGTATTTTTAATGGTCATTTTAATGAAGTAAATTTTTGTTCTTTCCTAAAGGCCTATATGAACCCAATAGCAATGGCCAGATCAAGGGGTCCAGTCCAGTCTTCAGGGCCAACAATCCAAGATTATCTGAATCGACCAAGGCCTACCTGGTATTTGTGAAATAATTTACCTATTTATGAAGTTTTCATACATGTTTAAATGGTTCCTGCTATAACTTTTATTGATTGCCAAGCAACTGCCAGATACGTAATTTTGAAGTAATATTTGATATGGTAATTTTAAATGTATGAAACTCATGCATGAATGTAAAGCAAACATTTGAGAACCCACCACCCAAAATAGCTAACACATTACCAGATAATCTTTTCACACCAGTCTCTTCTCTATTCCCAAAAAAAGAACTTAACCTTGCGTTTTTCTTTTTAAAACTTGTTTCTAATTTTTCCCATTGTAAGATTTTTGCTTTAAATTGATGTTTTTTTGCCCTGGTTGAGTGGCACTGATGTTTTGTAAATAACGTTGATAGCACTGGCCTTACTATTTTTGGTGTCTTCCTTATTATTAAATATCATACTCTTGTGGTGACACATGACAAGCTTGTGAGTTGTGATGTAGATTCCTAAGTGCCTCTGGAAGATGGGCAAGTGTAGTTGAAAGTTGTGCTTACATATAAGGGAATCCTTCCTTTGACTTAAACAGGAAGTAAGCATGTCCATCTCTTTCAGAATTCATGAGTGTTATTGTTGACTGTTCCAGGATACCAGAAAATAAATTATTCCAAAACAATGTACATTTTATTTTTAATACTGGGGGGAATGAATGAATTTAAAGAGGATTGTGCTCAATCAAGTATAACATGTGTGTCAAAGGTCCCCAAGAAAACTCCAAGGTTGAGTAATTCCCTAGGACTCACAGATAGTTGTAATTGTGGGTAAGATTTATTTCAGTGAAAGGATACCAGTCATAGTCAGCAAAGGGAAAAGGCACAGGGGTGAAGTCTGAGGAAGACTGGGTGCAGGCTGCCAAAGCTTCCTCTCGTGCCATTGCACAGGATGTGTTTTAATTCCCGTGGCAAGAGCTGTGATAACACATGTGAGATGTTGCCAAACAAGGGAGTTCACTGCCTATCAGAGGCCAAACTCCCAGAAGGAATGCAGGTGTTCATCCTAAACTACAGAGTTTGTACAAACAGGCATAGTAAACCACTCTTATAAGGGAATGGTAAGGATCCACCTAAAATCCAAGATCCTAGACACCAGCAAGAGCCCGCTGTGTAAGCAGGCCTTTCTAAAATAAGCGGTCGGTGTGCTGTGCTCTCTTTTCTGCACATGTGAGGTACATTATAAGATGGGTGATTTACTAATAGAAGGTAGTGTTTCAGTCAAATAGACCTTAGCTCCCTCTAATGCTGAAACTACTAAAGCTTTGTGACATTAGGCATATTTCTAAACTGCCCCAGACTGCAGCTACAGTAATTTAATTCATCTTGGGGTAAAAGAACACTTTTTCTCACAGGATTGTTGTGAGAACTGAAGGAAAATGTATTTAAAACAGTGCCTATAACATGTAGTACTCAAATGTCTCCTGTATTAAACTTTTATAATCCATGTTTAGAAAAGGAGTGATTAGTGTTATCTGATAGGCTTTCTTGTGATAATTGATTTACAGGGAGTGAACACAAATTCGAAATGCATCAACACTGGAATGGAGATTTATAAGTTAGGATACTAAGAAAAATTTGTTTATGAAATTTTGTTTTATTTATAAATATCCATCTCTAATTTGAATTTTTAAAAACAAATTTTTACATTCTATTTTTTAAGGGAAGAAGTGAAAGAACAACTAGAAAAGAAAAAGAAAGGCTCCAAGGCATTGGCTGAATTTGAAGAAAAAATGAATGAGGTTTGTACCTTTTTTAAAAAATAGGCTAATGTTGTAAGAAGAATGAAATAATTTTTTTATCAATAAAATATATTTTATTGATTTTTACAGAGAGGAAGGGAGAGGGATAGAGACTAAAAACATAGATGAGAAACATCAACCAGCTGTCTCCTGCATCCCCACCCCCTACTGGGGATGTGCCCACAACCAATGTACATGCCCTTGACAGGAATTGAATCTGGGACCTTTCACTCCACAGACTGATGCTCTATCCACTGAGCCAAACCGGTTTCGGTTGAAATAATTTTTTAATAAATGAAGCGTTTTGGTCTACCTCTTTAGTTTAAGGGGGCCCTGTATTTCATAGGTGTTTTATTGAGTACAGGTTTGTATGTAAATGTATGACTGTTTTAAGAAAGAGAGGAAAATCATGTTTTCCCTTCTCTCCCCCATCTGAATCTTATTCTGAGATTTCCATGGTGATATTTGCTTGCTTTGATTACAAACACGTGTCAGCATTTCAGCCACAGTATAGATTAATTTAATTTTCACTGTTTGGAAAAGGAATCTAACCATGTTTGTTAGAAAAATAAAAAATTCCTAGCCTCAGTAATACCTAGTCTCAGTATACAGTGGAGAATTCCTATCTCTTAATGTCCTCTTTGAAAACAACTGCAAAGGCTTGTTTGGTGATAGAGGATTCTGACACCTGGAGTATCTTTTGTAATTAGAGGCCGGATGGGAGAGAGAATTGAGAAAGTTAACATATTAGAAGTATTGGAAGGGGATAGATGCCCTCTGATGGTGTTTATAACCTTTTTGCAGAACTGGAAGAAAGAACTAGAAAAACACAGGGAGAAATTACTAAGTGGAAATGAGAGCTCGTCCAAAAAAAGACAGGTAAGACCATTTTTACTTTACTGCTATCCTTAATTTCACAGGTGGGTTTCCATAATACTGCTGTGTGCTATTATTAATAGACTAGAGGTCCAATGTACAAATTCGCGCACATTGAAAGGAAATTAATTAGAAGAAATATTTGAGAGACCAGGGAGGGACTGCGGGAGGTCCCCAGCAGTAAGCTAACCTACCAGTTTGAGCATCTGCCCCCTGGTGGTCAGTGCATGTCATAGCGAGTGGCCCACCAAACAGTTGACTGATCAGTCGGACACTTAGCATATTAGGCTTTTTTATATATATATATAGGTACATTTGAAAATTTACATTAGCTTATTTAGGTTTGTATTTTTGTTTGCTTACAGAGAAAGAAAAAAGAAAAGAAGAAATCTGGTAGGGTGAGCAAAACTTTTCCATTTTTCTAAATATTATAATTAAAAGCCTACGAAAAAAGTAAGAATAATTTATATAGTCTGTATACTAATAACTCTTTAGAGGTCCTTTCATTATTATGGGTGGTTTTGTTCTAGTTCTGATATAAAAGACGGGTGTCAACCTCCTTATAACCTAGTAACCCTTGTATTGCTATTAAAGAGGGGAAATTGGCCACCATTGCTATATCTGTTAACTTGTTGAGCCTTTTCTATGAGAAAATGTGGCATTTGACATTTTAATACGTCTTATGAAGATGGTATCTGTTTCTCAGACACTAGGTTGATTTTGTTAAGTATTTGAGAGACTTAGTAAAAGAAAAAATTCCTGCATCTCACAAGCTTTAATTGTTTTGTGCTTGGTCAAGTATTCATCTTCTTCTTCATCAAGCTCTGATTCTTCCAGCAGTTCTTCAGATTCTGAAGATGAGGTAAGGTTTGTCTATGATGACCCATGAAATATCTCTAATTTCTTTAATGACAAAGGAAACACATTATGAAATATTAGTTAAAAATGTTTATTTGCAGATTGGTTTTAAAAAATATATATTTTATTAATTTTTTACTGAGAAAAAGGGATAGGAATAGAGAGTTAGAAACATCGATGGGAGAGAAACATCAATCAGCTGCCTCCTGCACACCCCCTACTGGGGATGTGCTGGTAACCAAGGGTACATGCCCTTGACTGGAATAGAACCTGGGACCCTTGAGTCTGCAGGCTGACGCTCTATCCACTAAGCCAAACTGGTTAGGGCAAGGTTTTTATTACCTCTGAGAGCACTGATGTAAATAGGTATTTAGATATTTAAATATTGATGTATATATTTTTTAGATTTTGAATTTGTCTTCATTTAAAAATATGAGTAGAAGAAATGGATTTGAAAAATGTAAAATGCTATTTGACAAGATGCTAGGAATTATGTGTGACTCAAATCACTTGACTTTTTATAAAACAGGGAAATGATACGTTACATTTTAAATATTAAGTAAAGCTGATCCTTTCATTAACTTTTGTATATTGATAAAGATTTGATACCAAAATGTTTCTATTATATTTTTGAAACAGAAAGCAAATATTTCTAAAAATGTTTTATATAGGATAAGAAACAAGGAAAAAGGAAAAAGAAAAAAAAGAACCGTTCACATAAATCTTCTGAAAGCTCCATGTCAGAGACTGAATCAGACAGTAAGGTAAAATTACTTAAATAAGTACCATGTTGGATAGTAAAGACATGTAATTAGGTTTCTCTTTTAGTTCTTCTTATCTTAAATTGCTCTCATTTTCAAATTGAGATGTTCTGTACCACTTACCACCTTACATATGGCATTTAATTGTTCTCTAAATTTTTTCACACATATGTTTCTTTCTCAACACATCCATGATAGTTTTATGATAAGCCTGGTTGGCATTATTTTTCCCTTCTATAATAATAAAAGGGTAATATGCTAATTAGACTGGATAAAGCTGGGGGTGTAAGGGCAGCCAGGGAGCCAGAGGGAAGCCGGTGCCAGCAGCCGGGGAAGGAAGGCCTGCTCTTGCATGAATTTTGTGCATCGGGCCTCTAGTTTTCATGAAATGTCAAAGTTGAGCCCAGCTGGTGTGGCTCCATGGGTTGAGCATCGTCCCATGTACCAAGAGGTTGCTGGGTCAATTCCTGATCAGAGCACATGCCTGGGTTTCGGGCTTGATCCCCAGTGGTTGGGGCATGTGGGAAGCAGCCGGTCTGTCATCGATGTTTTATCTCTTCCTCTCCCTCTCTCCAAAAAAAATCGATGAAAAAGCTTTTTTGAAAAAAAACTTTCAGAAAAAAATGTCTTGCTTAAATTTATACAGCTAGTATTAGAATTAGAACTTGAATATGTGTTCTATCTGGTCTAGTGTCTTTTCTACTGTACCTAAGTCTGTTCTGAAATAACCAGAATTGTTTGACAAATATGCTCTTAAACATTAGTGGTCATAAGAAAACGTGCATGTTGCAACAAAAATGTAGTTTCCTGGGCCTCATTTTCAGTCTGATTAGTCTCAAAAGTCTACATTTTTAACAGATGTCCTGTGATTCTGATACAGGGTGTCCATGGACCACACTGGACAAACTGTCCTAGGCTCCCAGGAGAACAAAGCAGCTGTTTTGTTTTGTGGCAGATAGCTACTTCCCTAGTGAGATTTCTTCTGACAAAATGCTTGGAGTCTAAGGAGTATTCAGCAAAATTGTTTTTTGTTGTTTTTTCTCTTTTAAAGCAAAAGAGCCAATCTAATGATATTGATAGCTAATATGTATTGAATGCCTGCTACATGTTATTCACAGTTCTAAGCACTTGACATGTTAACTCAATTCCCTCAAAAACCCTATGAAGTAGGTATTTGTTATCCCACTTTATGGGTAAGAAAAGCTCAGGGAGGTTATTAATAACTGGAACTGAGGGACTCAAAAGCAAAAATTCTTACCGTCCCTCCTTATAAGGAGAGTAGGGAAATCAGATTGGTAGATGTCTGAGCACACAGTGAATTAGAACTCCCATGCATAAGACCACCACAGGCAAAATTAGGCAATGACAAAGTCTTATAGTAAAATACACCATATGGTTTTCACAGACAGTATGTCATTTTTAGTGTACATAGATTTGATTCATAGACAGATACATGAAATAGCCTATTTCTTTATAATCACATGTATACACAACACATTTTTTCTATATACTTTTTAAAAATATATTTTATTGATTTTTACAGAGGAAGGGAGAGGGATAGAGAGTTAGGAATATTGATGAGAGAGAAACATTGATCAGCTGCCTCCTGCACACCCCCTACTGGGGATGTGCCAGCAACCAAGGTACATGCTCCTGACCGGAATCAAACCTGAGACCCTTCAGTCTATAGGCTGACGCTCTATCCACTGAGCCAAACCAGTTAGGACTCTTCTATATTTTTAAAATAAAATTCTGGTACTGAAGTAAACTTTTTTCAGTTATAGAACCAGTCGCCTTTTTGGTATTTTTATCTTTATGCTTTTATGCTGTATCTTTTACATTTAAAATTGATTAAATATTTGTTTGTTTAGGATAGTTTAAAAAAGAAAAAGAAGTCAAAGGATGCAAGTGAGAAAGAAAAGGTAATTATAATTTTACATTACCTATAAGTAGTCTGTCATACAATACTTCATTTAAAGGAATAAACAATGTGTTTCCCTTTTTAACTTGAGTTTTTTTTTGCTTTTATGGCATTTCATATTGACTTAAGGAAATTATTTGTTGGTTTCATTATTGATTAGAAGATAGAAGAATATTCTTGTTTAAATTTATGTAATTTAATGGATTATCTCAGATTACAAATTTTAAGTAATGGAGATTAAATATTTCCTTTGTTCAAGTCATTTTAAAAGAGGCCCTTTTAATTAAAGAACATGGACTTCTGTTTCAAATTGAGTAGATCATAGATAAGTTTTGAAAAACTTATTTTATCTTTATTTGTGATTTAACTATAATTAATTCTGAATTTATCCCTACCCATTTTCTGATTTACATTTTAAAATCTTGATCTGATTATTAAAAACTAGAGGCCTGGTGCACAAAATTTGTGCACTCGGGGGGTGGGAGGGTCTCCTCAGCCCAGCCTGTGCCTTCTCGCAGTCTGGGAGTCTTTGAGGGTTATCCGACTGACAGTGTAGGCCCACTCTCCTTTGGACATCCTTAGCCCTGCTGCAGAGGTGGGAGAGGCTCCCGCCACCACCACTGTGCTCACCAGCTGTGCGCCCAACCTCTGGTTGAGCGGTGCTCCTGTGAGATCAGGCCAAAACTGGCTCTCCAACATCCTCCAAGGAGCCCAAGATTGCAAAAGGGCTCAGGCCAAGCTGAGGGACCCCACTGATACATGATCAGGATGTTGGCCAGTTGGGGAGGGACTTCAGGAAGGCTCCAGGGCATGTCTGGCCCATCTTGCTCAGTCTTGATTGGCTGGACCCCAGCAGCAAGCTAACCTACCAGTTAGAGCGCCTGCCCCTGGTGGTCAGTGCACATCATAGCTACTGGTTGACTGTCCGCCCAAGTCAGTGCATGTCATAGTGAGTGGTTGAGCTGCCTTAGCATATCATTAGTATATTACACTTTGATCGGTTGAATGGCCTACCAGTTGACCAGACACTTAGTATATTAGGCTTTTATTATCGATATATAGTATAAAGCCTAAGAAAAGCAATTACTAAATGAAAGAAAACTGAACAAGTGTCACTGTATTTTACTGTCTTTGTATATAATTTTTAAGAATGGAGGTGAAATTCACATAATATTCTGTTATCTTAAAATTACAATTTGATGATGTTTAGTGTATCTGCAATGCTGTGCAACAACCGCCTCACTCTAGTTTTAAAACTTTTCATCGCCCCTTTGAAAACAACCTATAAAGTAGAATATTCTAAACAAAAACAACATAACCACATAACCTCTAATCTGCTTTCTAAGTCTATGGATTTGTATATTCTGGATATACCATAAAAGCAGTCATACAAAGTGTAACCTTTCCTGACTGACTTCTTTCCTTTAGTGTAATGTTTTTGAGGCTCATCCAAGTGATAGCATGTATATCAGTACTTAGTTCCTTTTTATGGATGAATAACATTCCATTGTATGTATATACCACAATATATTTATCCATTCATCTATTAGTAGATATTTGAATTGTATCTACCTTTTGGCTAAGATGAATAATACTGCTGTGAACATAAGTATTCAAGTTTTTGTATAAACATAATGTTTTCATTGATCTTGAGATATACCTAGGAGTGCTTTTCATTCAATTTGCAAATAAAAACTCACTAAGACACTAAAGAAAGAAACTTGTGGCCAAGTTGGGTTAACTATATGAATTCAAAGATAAGTGTATCTATATAATTTGTGATGTAAGCTGGCCAAAAGAAACCATATGGTTATTTTAATAGTGATTCAACATTAATTTCTCATTTTAAAAACCATTATAGAATAAGTGATTACTTACATGTTTTTAAAAAAAAAAAATGTATATGTCACTGAAACTGGTTTGGCTCAGTGAACAGAGAGTCGGCCTGTGGACTGAAAGGTCTCAGGTTCGATTCCGGTCAAGGGCATGTACCTTGGTTGCAGGCACATCCCCAGTAGGGGGTGTGCAGGAGGCAGCTGATGGATGTTTCTACCGTGTTTCCCTGAAAATAAGACATCCTCCGAAAATAAGACCTAGCACATGGAAAGATAAGACATCCCCTGAAAATAAGATCTAGTGCAACTTTGGGAGAAAAAAATTAATATAAGACACTGTCTTATTTTCGGGGAAACAGGGTAGCTCTCTATCTCTCTCCCTTCCTCTCTGTAAAAAATCAATAAAATATATTTTTTAAAAATGTAAGTCATGTGGGGGATATAAAACCAAAAGCAGCAAACAAACAAACCAAACAAACTCATAGATACAGACAACGGAATGATAGTTACCAAAGGGGGCAAAAGCACCAGACACTTTCTCCTTCTTTAGAGGCAGCTATTTCTGAATTAGTGTGCATCCTTCCTTCCACACTTATACATATATTCATAAATAGTGTCGGGTTTTTTATTTTCAAAATGGTATCACGTTTGCTTCTGAAACTTGCTTTTTTCAGTCAACGTTGCTGTTGACATTTATCCTTGTTGATACTCTCAAGTTTGTTGCTTGTAGTATTTCATTATATTAATTTGCCAGTTATAGCTCCATTCTGATTGTGGACATCTGGATTGTTTTCATTTTTCAGTAATGCAAACAGTGCTTCAGTGGCTGTTTTTGTATCCATTTTTCTTTTCTACAAGTTATTGTTAATATTCTGACATATACTTGGAACTAGGACTTCTCGGTGCTAGGATGTACACACATTTAACTTGTCTACCTTTTGCTCACCAAAGTGCTTATTATTAATTTGCATTTCTGCTAGTAGCATATGATAGTATTTTTGTTACATACATACTTGTCAACACTGGGAGGCTTTAGCACTTTTAACTAATGTGCTGCAGAAATTTTTAAAACATGGCGATACCTGACTATTTAGTCAAGGGCACTGACTTCTTTTTCCTCAGATTATCAAATGAAAAAAGGACAATCAACACAATAGTTGTTCAATGTGAATGAATAAAAATTGTACCTATCTTTTTGTCAGATTGGCAAAAAATATATTTTTTGGTGTGCCACAGAATTCTGTTAATTAGTTTGTGTATACCATGAGATGAAAAAGGTTGAACATCACTGGTGTGGATGGTTGAGCCTTTCCATTTTCTTCTTAGCCATTCAGATTTCATTTTCTGTGAGCTGTGAATTGCCTGTTTCGCCTTTGCCCATTTTTTGGTTGGATTGTTTGTGATCTTTCTGATTGATAGGAGTTAAATATTTTGGGATACTATTACTCTTATACACATAACTATCATCTTTTATGTCTCTTAATCTTGTTTAGGTTTTCTGTTTTAAGGGATAGGTTGTAATTTTAAGTCATATATCGATATATCAATCATTGTTTTTAGCACCATTTTTAGTTTAAATTGTTGTGAAAGTACAATGTGATGTCCAGTTAAAAAACATAATGGAAGAATTGAACAGGACTTATTTGGAGAAAACTATAAATCTATTCAGAGATGCATATGAAGATTTAATAAATGTTCCTGGGTATGACATTCCCTACTAGATGTTAAAACATTTTAAATGCTTTGATTAAAACAATGTAGTATGGTACGAAACAAAAAACAAAACAATGGAACAATATAGAGTTCAGGTTAAAATTTTTAAGTGGTTGTGGAATTTAGTATATGATAAAAATGGCTTTTCTTGGGACAAAATGACTAACCATTTGTGAAATATAAAGCTGGGCACTCATTAAAGCCAAATAAATTCTAGATAAGTCTGTTTTAAATTATGGAAATATAACTAGAGATAGACATGATGAATATAATAGTGGAGTAGTGAAAGACTGTGCCTCAAAAAACTTGTGACTATATAATTCTAACTCTGAGTGGCAAAAAAGATCACAAAAAATAAACCATGAATGAAGTTTAAATATAATGAACAGACCTAAGAAAAAGTAGTAATACATCATTCAGAAACGTAGTGATCTTCAATATTAAATAACATTTCACAAACAGAAAAATTGTTAAAATATGTGTTTAGTAATTCTAAAAGTAAATATGAACTGTGATCCAATAATCTGACATTAATATGATAAAAGTGTGACTCAAAAAATGAAATAAAAAACAATTGTGGGGTTGTGGGAGATTGAGAAAATCATTTGAGTGAAGGCTATTTTGGTCTTTGCCTTAGTCATTATTATTAGATCAAGGTTTTACACTTAAGTACCCTTCACTGTATTTCAACTTTGTTTTTAATAGCAAAGAACACACATGGCTGCCTTTCAGAAAGAGATTGGTTAAGTAAATTGTGTCATATACTTTCAATGAATGTCAAAGGCTGCCATAGGTGACGATGTAGTTGGCATGGAAAGATACTATTGGGTGAGAAGAGCAGGTTCCAAACAGCAAGTATTGGTGTAAACTTGTAAATATACACATAGGAGGATGTTTACAAAAATCTTAATGGTTTAGGTAGTGGGATTTGGGTGAATTTTCTTACAGTGAGCACTTATAATTTCTACCAAAATAATAAACCTGCTAATCACCTGCAATCCAGTACATAAGATCATCACTGTTAGTTTATTTTCTACATGAATTTTTTGTTTATATCTTCAAAATTGGGTTCGTGCTGCATAAAGTTTTATATTATTTTTATATTTTAAGATTGGGGTGAGCATTTGTCATTATGTGGTTCTGTTGTTTTTGTTGTTAGAAACTACTTGAGCCATACAGAAAAAATATATGGGAAAATAGTAAAATGATAACGAGCATGTCCACTTTGAAGCTTTAGTAAATCCTAATACTTTAGTTCTTAAAATATATATTTAAGTCCTAAGTTCTCCTCCATTCTCACTCTGAGACTCACTCCTTCCTCAGGTATGCATTTTTTCATCATTAAAAATACTTAAGAGCCGGGACCGGTTTGGCTCAATGGATGGAGCGTCGGCTTGGGGACTGAGGGGTCCCGGGTTCAATTCCGGTCAAGGGCATGTACCTTGGTTGCGGGCATGTCCCCGGTGGGGGGTGTGCAAGAGGCGGCTGATTGATGACTCTCTCTCATCAATGTTTCTAGCTCTCTATCTCTCTCCCTTCCTCTCTGTACAAAATCAATAAAATATATTTTTTTAAAAAAATACTTAAGAGACAGCCGAAACCTGTTTGGCTCAGTGGTAAAGCGTCGGTCTGTGGACCGAAGGGTCCCAGGTTCGATTCCGGTCAGGGGCATGTACATTGGTTGCGGGCACATCCCCGGTAGGGGGTGTGCAAGAGGCAGCTGGTCAGTGTTTCTCTCTCATCGACGTTTCTAGCTATCTCTCTCTCTCCCTTCCTCTCTGTAAAAAATCAATAAAAATATATTATTAAAAAAATACTTAGAGACAAAGATTTTTTAAAAATGTGAATTTAATACTTAATGCACTAAAGGAATTGTTGTGCACAGTTCCTTTTAGATCATTGCAAATAATTATCCATTGATTTTCTTTTCTACAGTACTGTCTAGATCAGGCCTGTCTGATCCAACTTTGGCTAGAAACAAAGGAATTAGAATACGAGGAACCCAAATCTTGTACCGTCTATATAGTTCCTTATGACTTTGTAAAATTCTATCGTGTATAGTTAAATAAGAAGGATATTACATCAAAGTGGATATGTAGTTATTTCTTTTTTTTATATATATATATTTTATTGATTTTGTACAGAGAGGAAGGGGGAGAGAGAGAGAGTTAGAAACGTCTATGAGAGAGAGTCATCGATCAGCTGCCTCTTGCACACCCCCTACTGGGGATATGCCCGCAACCAAGGTACATGCCCCTGGTCGGAATCGAACCCGGGACCTTTCAGTCCCCAAGCCGACGCTCTATCCATTGAGCCAAACCGGTCTCGGCTTTTTTTTTTTTTTTTTTTTTAATATATTTTATTGATTTTACACAGAGAGGAATTGAGAGGGACAGAGAGTTAGAAATGTCGATGAGAGAGAAACACCGACCAGCTGCCTCTTGCACACCCTCCACTGGGGATGTGCCCGCAGCCAAGGTAGATGCCCTTGATCGGAATCAAACTCAGGACCTTTCAGTCCGCAGGCTAACGCTCTATCCACTGAGCCAAACTGGTCCCGGCGGTAAATGTCACTTTTAGACATCTCTAAAATGAAAATGGATTATCATTTCATGATAATTGGAAGAAATGTTACTAGAACTTAGAAATAAAATTTGCATGGCATAGTAATATGTCAAGGTACATGTATTTTTTTGTTGTTGTTTAATAGGACATTAAGGGGCTCAGCAAAAAGAGAAAGATGTATCCTGAAGATAAACCTTCATCATCTGAGTCTTTGTCAGAGTCAGATTATATTGAGGAGGTAAGTATATGATTAAGTCTGTTTTCTTCACTATAAAATGTCTAGTTATTTGATTTAATAAATATTAATTGAAAAACAAAATACTTCGTAAGTATTTGATTTATTTTTCTAGTTTGATGTACTAAGAAAAAGAAGTTCCATTTCAGAATAATTTTTGCATTTTTCCATAAGATAATTATATTACTATTATTTTACAATTAACCATATTCTCAGATATCTTTCCAATCTGAGATATGTATGTTATTTTATTTTTCTAATATTTTATTGTATTTTTAATTACATGAAAAATGCTGTATGGTATAAAGTAGATTAAAACCTGGCATTCACAACCAATGGACACAAAACCCTGGGGAGGGAGGGTATGTATGGAAGGGGGAATGGTAAGATATGTACACAGATAATAATTTAATAAAAAAGTATATAAAAAATAAAAATAAATAATAAATAAAAAATAAAACCCGGCATTCCTTTGTTTTTGTTTGGATCTGCTATTTAGGGAGTACAAAGGTGATGAGGTGGAGCAGAAATGTTTACCTGATCTCAGTTTTTCTATCTGTAAAATAAAGGAACAGGATGAGGTCATCTATACAGTCCTTTTCAACTGATATCCCTGTCTTAAATTTTGTACTCTCTTAGAATTATAGTCCATTTTTAGCTTTAAATCTGTAAAATAGGCCTATTACTCATTTTTTAGCAATATTTTGGAATGCCCCCTGAAATGAAATTTGTAGCTTTTATATAAATGTATATATATTATATAAAACCTATACATTTTTATATGTTACTGTCCCCTAACAGAAATAGAAGAAATACAAGAAAATAATAATCCATAGTTTTTATTAAATTACATTTCAATATGTAGATGGTTGAGTATATCTTAAAACCCTGTACAAAGTACTTTCTGTTCACAGTACAGTAAATTTAACTTCTCTATTATAAACAGGCTCATTATATGAATGTCTAGCAGGCTATTTGCCAGGGCTGTCCTGGACATTGTGTGACGATATCATCTGTGTTGGCCTGGTTAAATGTAGAACTGCCACCATTCCCATCATTGTTATGATAAGATAACAAAAAATAATTTCCTGAGTGCTATCTAGAGCATTTATCTTAATACATAAATTACATTACATTGGACGTAACATTAATACATGCAAGCTTTAGCAACTTTGAGTTTTATCTGTATCCAGTGTACCATACTTTAAAAGATTAAAATAAAATGTTAATGGAGTAATAATTATTACTTAAAAGAATTTTAATTAATTTATATATACTGCATACATTATGTGTATAACTGTTATTCATTGAATATCATAGAGTTAGAGAAATCCCCACTAGATTACAGGCACTTCCCCTGAGGGTGGATATAATTTTCATTTTACAGGTGATTAAACTAAGGGTACATGGCAGAGGTAGGATTCAGAGCTTGGTCTATTTTATTTATTTCAGTACTCATGTTTTTTTTGTTGTTTTTGTTTTTAACATTTTATTGATTTTTCACAGAGAAGAAGGGAGAGGGATAGAGAGCTAGAAACATCGAAGAGAGAGAAACATTGAACAGCTGCTTCCCGCACACACCCCCACTGGGGATGTGCCCGCAACTAACGTACATGCCCCTCACCGGAATCGAACCTGGGACCCTTCAGTCCACAGACTGACACTCTACCACTGAGCCAAACTGGTTTTGGCAGTGCTCATGTTTTTTATCCATTGCACCTCACTGCTTTTTTAGGTGCTGAAAGGGAATATAAGAGAAGCCCTTTAGAGATTTGAGATCTTAATTTCCCTCTCTTTAAAAAACATTTTTTTAGCCGAAATCAGTTTGACTCAGTGGATAGAGCCTCGACCTATGGACTGAAGAGTCCCAGGTTCAACTCCGGTCAAGGGCATGTACCTTGGTTGCGGGCACATCCCCAGTAGGAGGTGTGCAGGAGGCAGCCGATCGATGTTCCTAATTATCTGCCCCTCTCCCTTCCTCTCTGGAAAAATCAATAAAAATATATATATATATATTTTAAATATATTTTATTGATTTTGTACAGATAGGAAGGGAGAGAGATAGTTAGAAACATTGATGAGAGTCATCGATCAGCTGCCTCTTGCACACCCCCTACTGGGCCTTGACCGGAATTGAACCCGGGACCCTTCAGTCCCCAAGCCGACGCTCTATCCATTGAGCCAAACCGGTTTCGGCAAAAATATATATTTTTTAATTTTTTTAATTTAATCCTCATTGTGATCTAACGGGTTTGAGGTTATACAAGGCACTTAAGATGTCATTTGATTGTCAAAATGTTTTTGACATATACATTTTAAAGATGCAAGGTATATTAGGGAATGAAAAAGAAATGCCATGAGTGCAAGTTACATATTTGTCTTCTTTTCTCCACAAAAACTTAAACTTTTTAGGTACGGGCAAAAAAGAAGAAAAGCAGTGAAGACAGAGAAAAAGCAACAGCAAGTATCATTTATGTTTTTACATGGCAACAGTATAGCTGGTTTTATTTAATATAAATTGAGTCATGGTAAAGCATGATTGCATTTACTAGGACCAAATAAATACTTACTGTGGTGTTCAGCTTCACTTAATGGGTTGGAGAAAATTAAGTTGGTTCAGGGAAAAGTAAGAATGTCCTTGTGCCAAGCATGTTCTGTTTCCATTTCAGTATTTTATGGTTAGAAATGTAAGCTCAAACTTTCATTTGACTTTCTGAAGATGTGTAGTATGAAATATGATATTAAGGTATGGTGATTCCCTCTATCTTCAATAGTAGTTACTTCCAGATCAACCAAACCTGGTAATAACAGTAAAAGCCTCTTTAAGCTCAATTTGCAGTGAGTAATAAACTGGAATATGACAACATAAATGGTTCACTAATGAAGATTATTCTTTTGATCATTTCTAAAGCCAGCCCTGCTGTTACGCAGATTGAGAAGTAGGAAAGAGGAGGAGAATAAGGAAAACAGAAGCAGTACTCGAAATAGGCCCGCCTAGAGAGAGTGAATACAGATAGCTTAGAGTAATGCAGACCCTGCCAGCAAAGTAACCGGGGGCACTTAGTAAACCAAGTGTGGAGCTTTAAAGGCATTTTTTTAGGGGGAGGTGAAATAAAAATGAGAACATCATTTGTAGGTTCGAGGGTAACTCCCATCATTTCCCTAGCTCCTAAGATGGGGGTCCTTCTCTGATAAGAAGGTTCATTTGGTAATGTGTGATTCAGAATTAACATTCTGGTGTATAGGCTGATGTCCCAACCAACTGAACCACTGGGCATGGCCAAAACTTATTTTTAAAAGCCCAAACATAAGATTTTGGACTCTTTGTCCCTGTGTACTTGACTTGTAATGAAAAGAATGATGAAAGTTAGCTGAGGTCCAAAAAGTGTTAAGAGACCTGTGAGAGAGAAGGGAGGATTATGGAAAGTTAAATAGATAAGGAAATGAGTGGGAAGCTTTGCTTTAATACCCTTTTATGTCTCTCTTCTTGCTTTTCATTTTCTTCTCCTAAAACAGTCTATCGTTTGATATCATCTTTCCAGTATCTGTTTCTAAAAGTTCCACTTTCTCTTCTGCATCTGACGCAGTCACAAAAATCCGAGTGCAGCAAAATTCTAATTCCATCTATCCAATGACAATTAGACTGCTTTTGCAAGGCTTCAGTGGCATTTTCCACAGTCAAGCATCTGTTTTACTAAGCTAAATAAGACTTTTGAACGCATATGCTAGGGAGTGGGAGTGGCGAGGGAGAGGTCAATGAGGAAAAGAGGAGATGTATGTAATGCTTTAATCAATAAAGAAAAGACTTTTCAACTATACGTCAGTATTTTGTGCCAGGTAGTTGTTAACCTAATTCAAGTGCTCTCAGTCTAAGCAGTACATAATAACTGTTTCTATTTACTTAAAAATGGCAGATTTAATAGATATGTTCTTTGAAAACTGATTTTTGCATAAACTATTGTTTTGCTGTGGTGTGGGGATTACTTTGCAGTAACTACAGTTACTTTACCTTTAGAAAGTAAATAAATAAAACTAGCAGCTGATATCATGTTATTTTCTATGGGAAATTTTGATTAAAGCTACATTAATGTGCTAATAATTTTTTTTTTTTTTTCACAGAGATGAAGAGAGAGGGATAGAAAGTTAGAAACATCGATGAGAGAGAATCATCGATCAGCTGCCTCTTGCACACTCCCCGCTGGGGATGTGCCCGCAACCAAGATACATGCCCTTGCCCGGAATCAAACCTGGGACCTTTCAATCCACAGGCCGACGCTCTATCCACTGAGCCAAACCGGTCCCAGCTAATGTGCTAATAATTTAAAAGTTTTTCCTTACCCTTTTGGAAATCGAAAGCACTCTTCATGATTGATATTGGTTATTGAGACTTGTCAAGAAATGTTTTGAGCCGAAGCCGGTTTGGCTCAGTGGTGGAGCATCGGTCTGTGGACTGAAAGGTCCCAGGTTCAATTCCAGTCAAGGGCATGTACATTGGTTGTGGGCACATCCCCGATGGGGGGTGTGCAGGAGGCGGCTGGTCGGTGTTTCTCTCTCATCGACTTGATTGTGTGGATTGTTGAAATAACTATATATTAGCTCAGAAGTACTATGGTAAAGTTGTTTTTAATTTGCATATTTTCATGTAGAAATGTCTAATATGGAACTATCTCTACAGGAAAAGACAAAAAAGAAAAAGAAACATAAGAAACACAGTAAGAAAAAGAAAAAGAAGGCTGCTAGTTCAAGTCCTGACTCACCGTGAAAGGCAAAATCAGGATTCCCTTATAAAGAAAGTGCAATGTCTGAGGAGATCTCAACTGTGAAAATAATGACATATTTACTAAAATGCATGACCTTTGTTGTTTCTAGAATTATTCCTGGATTGTTCAGTAGCCACTCAGATGCCGCTGTGTGAAAGGGCTATAAGAGTTGCCTGCTCCTTGAACATCTGACTTCGTTCTCTTCCATTGCTTAATAACTCTGGGAGATAATATGCTGCAGTCGTACTGGTGGTTGACATTTGGGAATAAAGTTAATATTTTTGACTAGAAGTATCTAATGATAAATCAACAGAAATTGAGTCTGGATACATCGTTAAGGTGTAAACAGAAATGATCAGATGACTCTAGGTAATGTTTTTGAAGTAGGGATTACATTGATATTTTAAAATCCTTACTCTGTAGATAAGTGTATTTTAATTTTTTCCCCCTGTATACTTTTATTTACTTGGGGAAGGAGCTTTTAAGGGTGGAGGTGGTTTGCTATTTCTTTAGCTAGCAGAATAGCGTGCCTTTTATCCTCACACATCCTATTTTTGCGGACACAGTAGCCATGCTTCATGAGGAGATCAGAGCTGGGTATGACAGTCTTGTGCTTTATTGAGCTTCGTTACATCCTTGGTCTGTCATATGCTGCTTTGAGTGAATCAGAGAAGCAGCCTTTTTCAGCACGAGAAAGCCTGAGAAGCTCTGCAATTTACCTCCATTTCAATAATACTGAATGATTTTTTTTAGCATTAGAATGTGTTGTAACATTTGGATTAATTTTGACTTTGGCTTTGGAAAGGAGTCATTTCCAATAGACACTGGTACTTTTTGAACTTGATAGCTAAAGATTCTAAAATGCATGTTTTATACTGTTAAGTTTTAACCAGTCAGGAGTATTTTATGTAACCAGTGATAGCTATTTTTTGTATGAATTTTGTTTAGGCTGTAATGTTTAGCTTTTATTAACTTTTTATTCTTGCTATCTTAAATTCCTTACTGCATTGAATGGCGTTCTTGCCAAAATATTTAGCATGTGAAAAGCAGAGTTTAGATTTGGTTTGGTTGGTTTTGTTTGTAACAGCTTCATATTGAAGCTGAGACTTACCATATACAAGTTGAGTGGCAAGCCTGGTATGCTGTGTCTTGTTACATAAAGCTCTTGCCAGAATCTTAGTAAATATAATGTTTTAAAAGTTTGTCTTTGTATATTCATAAAAAATATGACAAGTTAAACTTAAGTGAGAATTACATTATTGCTCTTTCTGTGTCATTTTACTAAGATTTTGTGCCTCGTATCTCCTGCTGTGAATTGTTTACTAGTTATGTTAAAAGGAACTGATAAGTCATTTTCACTTTACATTTTTATATAATTGGGTAATATGAAATATAATTTGATGTATAACTGCCTGTGTGCTAATTACAGTGGTATATGCACAAACCATTTTGGCATGGCAAGAGGCTGAATAAATAGCTATTTTACCTAAAAATAGCCCTGTTCTATCAGCTTCCTTTGAGTCACAAGTAAAGTTATAATGGTTAAGAAACACTACGAGGTGTTAAGTGGTAGGAGGATAAGACATTATCTCCCAAGTTTTTAGCTGAAAAAACGACTTGTTCCTTGGTTAGTTTCCTTAAATTTTAGACATAAAGCTTTGCACTGTTACCTAATAAAAGATATCTATATGCTCTTGAGAATACAGCAAGTTTGAGGGCTATTTTATACCCAAAAGGAAGTTTCTCAGAATTGTTTATGAAAATGCTAAAAGATAAGTTATTTGATGATCAGGGTTTTACTATGATCCTAAAAGGTGTACCTTTGCAGACTGCTCCAATATATGATAATTTTGTTCCACTAGAGGCAACAGTCTGTTTTATTAGACTGGGGAAGAAAGTGATGTGGCAAAAAAGTGTACTCTTTCCAGGCTGTTGACTGTCTGGGAGATAACCTTTTTCATTGTTTCTCTTGTGGTAGCCTTAACAGTCTCCTCTTAAGGTATGGGGAGAAAAATTTGACTAGTAGTGTTATGGTGCAAGTCAACATCTCTTACTTCCTCCCTCTACCGATACCATATTATTCAGATAATTATGCCAAGGTAACAGACAAAATTGATGAGTATCTGGACAGAAAAATTGAAATTATACCAGTGCTACCTCTTTTTGGTTGTTTGGGGTCATTTGGTTGCCCTTAATATATTTAGGTGTTTTAAATACCACAAGAGTGTCCTGCATTTATTTTATCTTGAATATGGGTTCATAGTCTATCAGTCAAGAAGCGCTATAAGGCCTCATGCCCAATATTCTTTCCTTTTATGGTGAACAATAGACTAACCTCAGAACTGAGAGGAGAGCAGTATTCAGACTTAAGTGACAGGTTTCAAACTTTTAAAATTGCCCATTTTGAACTTAAAATCTATTAGATTAGAAGCGTTTTAAGAAAGCTTTTTCCCCCCAGTTGTATTTGCCTTATTTTAAATTTTATTTTTATATTTTATTAAAATTTATTTTAGTACTTTTTTTTTCTTCCTTACCACAGTGAAGACCAGCAGAGACAAACTAGAAGATGCTTGGTCTCTAAGATTTGACAATAGACAAGAGTTTAGACAGTTGTTTGTCCACCTTTGGCATCACGTTTTCCTACCAGTTAGTCAGATGTAAGTTGGAGGGATGAAAGTGGTGTTTTTTAACGTTTCTTTAGAAGCTCCTAGAGTAAAGCCTCTGTTTGGATATCATGAGAAGGTAACTGGGTTTGAGTTTGCAAATGATGTTATAATCTTTGAAGGAGCTTTTATAGCCTGGGAATTTATTTCAACTTAAAGTTCAAGGTCTTTGTAATCGTATTTAGTTTAATTGTTCAAATAGGAGAGAAACATTTTCAACTGTAGAATTTGTGCTGGAAAATATTATCATGGCAGTAATATCAAGTACTACTGTCAATGGTGTTTAGACCCAAAGAAAAGATAGATGTTAGAATTGTTATGACATTTCACATCACAATAACATTAATGAAAGCATGGCATGAGTACTAAGAGATTACAACCATTGTTGCATATTTTTCCAATTACTTGAGAACCATTGTTGCCATCATCACATTCTGTGTTGGGTATGACATGGTCATCTGGAACCAATAGCAGCCCAGAATCCCCAAGCGTGGAGCTACGCTATCTGAGAAGTCTGCTGTGTGTTGAAGCCACATTCAATATGGACCCGAAGGCTTTAGGGAAACTGGTGGAATCCATCAGTAAAACCGTCAAGAGCTGTGAGTACTGACCAGACATCCAGCACTGCCTGAGCATCTTGGTTCAAAAAGAAACATTGATAGACATACTAGCTGGACATTAACTAGTGCTGTGTAAGCTCCAAATTGGAGTTCCTCTGTTTCCTATATAATGTTTTGATCACTTGAAAAAAATAGACAGCAAGTGAACAATTATCCATGCACTTACACTTTAATAGCCAGCTATCCTAAAATACATTTGTGTATGTGAAAGGAAGAGCTTAAGAATACATGAGATCATAAGTGCTAAAGGATTATTTGCCAACGAAGGACTGATAAATAATCTAAAATTTACTAAGGGTTTTCAGAGTATAAAGGTTGACTTGGACCAGTTCCTCAAGTTCTCTGGCACAAAATCCATTGAAGCAGACAATGGCTGTGCTTTAGGCAGCTAGTAGAGATGTGTAACATAGGATACTGTAGATGTTGCAATAGCATGGTGCCTTGAACATAGTGTTCATAAAAACTAGTCCTAACAGATTGTTGTTGTTGTTTTTTTTTTGTTTTTTTTTTGTTTTTTTTGGGGGGGGGGGGAGAAACGGGGTCCCTGCCCTGAAAGACATTAAAAAGTAATCTTCGTGAAAGTTTTTTTCTCTCTGGTAATGACCACCAGCCATTCTGATAACACTGAAAATCTGTTTTTAGAATTTGAGGAAGTTACTTTTATTTCAGCCACTTGGACAGCCTCATTATTAAGCTCTTCCACTTTTTCTCATTAGGATAGGCACCATTTTTCTAAAATTCTCCTTGTAGATTTAATTCTGTTTTCTCTTATTCCAGATACATTTTAAATGATCTAAACTCCTCAAGTACTTGTAGGGCCTGTTTTCCAACCCTGCTGTCAATGCGTCCCTTAAGTCGTATCTGGCAGATTGAGCCAGTGTTTAATGTAATGTCTTTTGTCACTTGCTGCTTTCTGAACAATTGATTATTCCTTTCTTTGGGCTACCCCCAACCACCATCAATCATAGTGTTTGTATTACCTTACTGCACTTTATCTCCATCAAAGTGTAACAACCTTGAGACAGGAAGTATTCATTGCCTGGTTCATGGAAGACCCTTAATAAATGCTTATTAGATGGATCAAGAAGACCTTTAAGTCCTATGTGATACTAGCTACAGTGTGAAGCCTGAGGATCTAATTCAGTTAATAAAATACTATTGTGTATCTTTGTAATTGCTTATTCTTTAGATTTGTCAATCATCCTAAGAACCAAGTCATTCTGACCACAGTGGAAGCCCTATTATGGTAAACTGTATATTTGCTATGTTATAATTAACTTCAGTTTGGTAATCTGAAGTCATTTCAAAGACCGCATCTAAACTAACAGGTTTTTCCTCCCCACCTTCCCCAGACACACAGAAAGGAGGGAGGGAGGACAAGGAAAAGAACAAGAAAAATAGTAACCAGCTTTCCCTCTTTCAGTTCTCTCAACCTTTGATTCATAGAATCAGACTTTTAGAAATTTAAGGACTCAGAGATCATTTAGGGCAGACAATACCCAATTTCCATAGTTGAGGGCTCTGAGGTGTAAAGATGCTACATAACTTGTCTGTCTCTCAACTATTTAGTCTCTCAGAAATGGAAGTAGAACCTATACTTAAGTCTACTACCCCCAACCCATAAATCTAATCCCCTAGTTCTCAGTCCTGATGGTGCATTAGAATCACCTGTGCAATTCTTAAATTTACCCCTTAGGTCACTAAGTCTGGAGTGAGATCCAGGTACATGAGTATTAAAAAGTTTCAGTTTGAAGCCAGTCACCAAGTCTACTAGTTTTTTGTGTGTGTGTTTTTATTTGTTTGTTTAGCAGTATCTCAGACTCCTTCACCACTCTCTGACCTCGCTTCTATCTCCCTGGCCCCCTCACTTCAAACCTGGCTTCTGTGCTTCCAGTTTTCCTTTCAATACAGATTGCCACTTCTCTTTTCCTGAACCACTCCTCACCCTTTAAGGCATAGAAGAGTCAACTGAACTCTTGTCTTAAATTTAATTCCTGGACCTGCTGTTAGCAATTCCGAGGTAGATCTGGCAATTTGCATATTTAACAAGCAATGGAGAAGGGATTGATTTTCATACAAATGGACCAAAGATGACACCATGAGAGACACTGTTCCAGTAAAATAAATGTTAATCATCTGACCATGCATTCAAGGCTCTCTCCCACCATCCCATTCTCTTCCATCTTATTTTTCACTTCCCACTTGCTGGCTCCCAGGAAGACATGTTCAATCTCAACCTCCATTCTACCTCTTTATATTGTTCCCTCTCCCTGGAATTCTCCACTTCTTTACTACCCCCAACTCATTCCTTCCTATAAAAATACTATGCATCCTTCAAGGCCCAAGTCCAAGTCCATCCCCATGAAAGGGGCACAACTCCTCTTCAAGTGAGAACCGTTTTAATTGTGTAAGCTCTTGAGTAACAAGTCCATGTCATACTTTTTATGGCATCTCGCATCAAGGGGAAAAAATAGTTTTTAGTAAAATATTGGAAATTAGGTTGAACTCTAAGTCATATTCATATTTTTATTTTACAGTCAAGAAAAGTGAAGTTGAGAGCCTCGTAATACTTTTTCACGGCTTGGTGGGAAAACCTGATGAGAGGCTTGATATCGCTAGACTAGATCGGAGCACATTTCGAATGGTCCTGCACGGCTTGTTTGGAATGACTGATGATAAGCTAATGAATAGGGGTAAGAAGTCATAAGGGTCTGAAATGAGCCAAGCTGAGCTGGCAGACATATATGTATATATATTAATTATATTTATTATACTTATTATATATGGCGTATATAAATAGATTAATATAAGGCAAATATTTTATATTCAATTTTCATCAAAGCCTGAATTTTTATTGACAAACTAGAAAGACAGTTCTGGTAGTGCTGCCAATACAAATCAGTAGTTTATTTTATTGTCAGGATGTTTTTAATATAAACTTGCTCAGGATGTCTTATAACTGTGCCACTTTGAGAGAGAACTAGTAATGGGCTAAATAAACCAGCAGTATTGTTTTTTCAAAGATAAGCATGTAACTTAATCATGATGTCTATAAATTCATATGCTGTAGACATGGACATTTTTCAATGACTTCTTTTTCCTCATAAAAATGAAAAATGATATTCATTATACTGAAAAAAATAAAAGGTCATTTGTTTAAAATAGGAAGTTATTTAATATGAGCCATTCATTTTAACTAACTGATTTTTTGTGTTCAATTTGGTAAGTTTTGATCTATATATGTACACCCTTGAACCCATAATTATAGTCAAAATAATTAACATTCATCACCCCCAAAAGAATCAATATTTTACTTTCTATAGGATTATATTAAGATTTCATTGGTAATTTAAAAATAGAATTATTTTAGTAATTTACGTTTAGGCATTGCGCAAGCTCTTTAGAACAGAATTTTGCCACTTTTTTAGAATAAAAATTACTACATTGATTAGCTCCATCATTGTACATACCATAGTAACTGTACCAAACAAGATCATCATTGGTCATGGAGGTGAATGACTTTTCTTCCTATAGAAATCTAGGGAAAACATTTTTAGTAATTTTGACTTTTTTGAGAATGATTGTACCAGAACCTTTTTTCCCCCCTCAGTTTGGGAGGAGATTTTTAAAAATCTATACATATTCTTGAATTATAAAATAGCTGTAAGTTATAGTACACTTATATGTGCTTTTTTTCAGTATTTTTTGCATTTGACAAAGACAGTGATAACTGCATAAGTGTAAATGAGTGGGTTAAAGGATTATCGGTATTTCTTCGAGGGACTTTGGAAGAAAAGCTGAAGTGTAAGAATTCTATATGGGATCACTGGCTTAGTAATATATATGGTTAATTTTGTATTTAGTGAATGTTTAAATATTTTTAAAAATATATAATTAGTGTTCTCTATAGCAACCTTGCAAAAATAGTTCATGACAGTTTTAAAAATACAAGCCAGATGAAAAGGGTAGGCTGTTTCATAAGCGAGTCCCTAGTCCCAAGATCCCTAAACACTTCACTTACTGGTTCTGTAATGTTTATTTGTCACCAGGATGGGTCTTTGGCTTACGGCCCAGTCTAATAACAGAAACTAAGTGTTAGGACTTATGCCAACTCTTATCAGCTAATAAGGTGGACATTTCTGAGACTGCCTCTGAGCTCAGCAGGAAATAGGCCTTGATATTGCACAACACAAGTCCTCTCTCTCCCCCCCCCCTCTCTCTCTCTGTGTGTGTGTGTGTGTGTGTATGTGTGTATAAATATATACAGACATACAAACATAAAACAAGGTAAAACACACTATCAGACATCAATACTGTAGTGTTAGTGTAGATGAGTGAAAAGGGGGGGAAAGCCAAGGACAATGAAAGCCCAAAGGGAGGAGGGTTATAAAGAGAGCTTCTTACAGAAAAGGAATGTTAGGAATTCCAAAGACATCCCAGTTCTCAATTGTGCCTAGAGTTAGCTGAGGCCTCCCCTCACCTGTACCATTGGTGTAGTGTGTATTTCCTGTGTTTTACACCTCTGATTCCAGGATTTGGGGCAGAGAGCCCTGGAAAGATAATAAGAACAATTTTAAATAGTTTTCAAAGAAACAGATTGCTTAAGAGAAGACAGCAAAGTACTGAGGAAGTAAGTTTTGTTTTTTTTTTTAATATATTTTATTGATTTTTTACAGAGAGGGAATGGGATAGAGAGCCAGAAGCATCAATGAGAGAAAAATTGATTAGCTGTCTCCCGCACACCCCCCACCGGGGATGTGCTCGCAACCATTGTACATGCCCTTGACCAGAATTGACCCTGGGACCCTTCAGTCGCAGGCCAATGCTCTATCCATTGAGCCAAACCTGTTTCAGCCGCTTTTTTAAAAAAATATATATTTTATTGATATTTTACAGAGAGGAAGGGAGAGAGAGAGAGAGCTAGAAATGTCCATGAGAGAGAGACATCGACCAGCTGCCTCTTGCACACCCCTCACCAGGGATGTGCCTGCAACCAAGGTACATGCCCTTGACCGGAATTGAACCCTGGACCTCTCAGTCCGCAGACCGATGCTCTACCACTGAATCAAACCGGTTTCGGCAGCTTTTTTTTTTTTTTATCCCTTCTTCCACTTGAATTTGGAATGTTCAAAAAAGAATCCCTAAATTAAACACATTTTAAAGTGATAGCACATTTTTAAAGAAAATCACCAACTTTCTGACATACTTTCTTTTTCTAGTTTTGTATGTTTTCTTTTTCATTCTAATTTTTTACAGGATAACATTTAAATATAGTTGCCATTAAGCTTATTGCAACATTTCTATACAAAAGTCTCACGGAAAAGTGAAAAGCTAAGTTTCTTGGATGTAAATTCTTGTGGTAATACTAATACCCAGTGAAAATGGTTGTGATGTTGAAAGTAGCTGTATAGTAACTGAATAGCATCACACTATCAAAAAATGTTTCATCCTCTAACCCCACTTCCTAAAAATGTTTTATATACATTTCAAAATATGTTAATTTGGGGGAAGATACTACTTGTAGTAAGGTTGTGTTGCAAACTCATGTATGCAACAGATTGGAGAAACTCGACAAAAAGGCACAGCTAATCTAATACTCTGGAGCTTTATACATGGTTCTGTTGCTTTTGAAAAACACTTAACTGGGTTACAAACACCACAAGAGCTCTTTCACTGAGTAAGTCACTTGTGGATGAATGAGTGAATTGTAGTAGTGCTTACTCTGTGAGGTGGAAGTCACTCCAGGGAGAGATCAGTTTTTCTGAGTTATGCAGCCAGGCAGGCCCCAAAGAAATGACAGACTCACTAGCCAAATACCCTGAAAAATGTCGGTGACATAGCAAAGTGCATACTTAGTTTTTGTTCTCTATGTAACAAGAGAATCATAAAGCTGAGATTTTTACACATGTTTGTATAAATGTTTTATATGATCAGAGATTTAAAATATGTATCCCCTTTATTTCAGCTTCAACTCTCAGTTTCAAAATCCAGAAGTTACAAGTCTTTCTTTTCACATTCCAAGGTGTATTTTATCTTGTGGAAAGAAATATAATAAAAGGTTAAAATCTCCTTACCATAGATCAATAATTGTAGGTTATATAAATTGTTTTTATTATTGTAATAGAGGCCCAGTGCACAAAATTCGTGCATTTGGGTGGGGGAGTCCCTCATGCCAGATTGCGAGAGGGTGCAGGCCAGGCTGAGGGACAACACTGATGCCTCAATCGAGCTGGGAGGACACAGGAGGTTGGCCAGCCAGGGAGGGACCATGGGAAGGCTCCAGGGCATGTCCGGTCCGTCTCACTCAGTCCCGGTCAGCCAGAGCCCAGCAGCAAGCTAACCTACTGGTTGGAGAGTCTGCCCCCTGGTGGTCAGTGCACATCATAGCGAGTGGTTGAGTGGCCTTAGCATATCATTAGCATATTATGCTTTGGTTGAATGGCTGACCAGATACTTAGCATATTAGGCTTTTATTATTATTATTATTTCAACTGTCCTTATCCAAGTTGTTAAATATATTATGCTTTGAAAAGTCTGTTTTGAAGTTTACTATTTGAATGGTGATGATGGTTACATTTCTCGAGAGGAAATATTTGACATGTTGAAGAACAGTCTACACCAGGAGTTATCTGAGGAAGAGACTGATGAAGGAATAAGAGAATTGGTAGAGATAACACTGAAGAAAATGGTAAGAATGAAATACTGTAATCCTAATATATATTAAAACCCAGGGTGTGTAATGACAGAAGGCTCGACTGAACACTGGAAATCAATCCTGCAGTCAGTTGCCATGGCTGTAGATCAGGCCTGGAAAGAGTCCCGGAAAGAGAGGCAGGGTCTGATCCGTAGCCTCTGGCAGCTGTTGATCAGCCCTTTGCCCGTCTTTTTCTCTCTGGGCTTTGCCAGCAGCCATGCCTCTCTTTTTCTCTGGGCCTCTGCAGGGGCTGCTGATCAGTCCTGCCTCTCTGATCAGACCTGGAGATAGGCTCAGAGACGATGACTGGCATAGAAACCAACCAATCAGAACCTAATCTGGGTGAACTTCGAAGGCAGAACCTAAGATGGGGGCTGAGGAGAAGTTTTAAGGGCAACTGCTGTTTGGTATAAGGTGTAAGAAAGCGGTTCAATTTTTTAATGATTGGTTTGGCAGTATAGTGCATATGGCTGGCTATCAGTCCAGATATAGGGATTATGTATTTTTGTCTGCCAAGAGCCTCTCCTCCTGCTGAAAAAGGCTTCCCTCCCCCCCCCCCCCCATTTAAGCAATCTTATCTTAGTATAATTCATCTATACTACGGTAATAAAAGGGTAATATGCTAATTAGGGTCGACCGGCCATCTTATGGACGTCTGACTTCCTTCCGGACAAAGCCATGATGGTGAAGGCTGAGGCAGAGGCAGTTAGAGGTGTTCAAGCCAGCAGGGGAGGGCAGTTGGGGCAACCAGGCCGACAGAGGAGGGAAGTTGGGGGTGAGATCAGGCCGGCAGGGGAGGGCTGTTGGGGGAGAGATCAGGTGGGCGGGGGAGGGCAGTTACGGGGGATCAGACAGACAGAAGCAGTTAGGGATAGGCAGGCAGGCAGGAAGATGAGCGGTTAGGAGCCAGCCGTCCCAGATTGTGAGAGGGGTGTCCAATTGGAGAGGGTGCAGGCTGAGCTGAGGGAACCAAGCAAGTGGATGAAGAAATTATTTCCCTCCATAATAAATGCAGCCTTTATGAGGGCAGGAGTTTTTGTTTTCTGCTCTGTCCATTGCCTGGAACAGGGTCTGGCTGATAGTGGGTGCTCAGAAAATATTTGTAGAATTGCCAGGTGATTAAATGAATCACTATTCCAAGTGAATGTTAATTTTCTCATTTTGAAATATTTTAATATTTAGTAAAATCTCACTAATTTTGGGAAAGGCAGCAGATTTAATGTGTATTAAATTGGATGCTATTCTTGTCTGTCTTCATGACCTTAGCCTTCCAATTCTTCTCAATTATAATAGAATAACATAATGATAAAAGGTTGTTTTTATAGAGTGCTTGCTATTTGCCAGGCCCTTCATATTTAATATGTGAATTCATTTTATCCTCAAAACAACCCTGTGAAGTAGACATCTCTATTTGGCAGATGAGTAAACTGAATTACAGATGGGTTTACTCAAGATCACACTAGAAAATTGGGTGCAGAATTCAGTGAAACCAATAATATCCTTTTCTAATGGACATACTAGTAATTTCTCTCCTTTTCTTACTGTAACCCTAAACTGGATACCAGTGAAGATTTGTGACCCTATGATTTGTGGGCCTGGCTAACCCATGACTCTGGAGTTCAAGAAAGAAACATGATGTGGACTGTTGGCTTAATTTTTAGTACTAGAACTTGTTCCTGAAAGGATCTCTTACCTGGGGGCTCACCATGCAAAAATGACCCAGACCCAGAGTATCCTCTTCCACTGGAAGTACTCACTAGACCCTGCCAGGGCACAGGCTAGAGAGACAGTATGTTCCCTCATACCAAACCCCTCATTTTCTTTTTTGAAAGGAAATGTTATGGAGTGAACTTTTTTTCTGACAATTATTCAAACCTTTCTCTAGATTAGACTTTCAGCAGCCCTGCTTTAGTAATACCCTGAAGTGAGAGAAAAAAAAAACAGTAACAAACAAAGACTCATCCGATCAAATCCAAATTCACTGAAGCAGCTAAAGGCCTATGTAACCCCCACACATTCTATCCCCATGATTTACCTAATCACCCATAGCCCCTGTCACAAATGCTCCACTTGAGGCAGGTCTCTCTTCTCCTGACTTACGCTCCTGCTTATTGTCATAATTCAGCTCGGGCCATTGTGCACTTCCTCCACACACTTCCCTACCTATCAGATCCCAACCATCCCTAAAGGCCTAGCGGTGGTCTGCATGATTAGTCCCATCTTGGGCTGTGAGTGCTCTAACTCCCGGTGCCCTGGTCCTTATCTGAGCAACTCCACTCTTACCCTTTTTGCATGGTGAGCCCCCAGGTAAGAGATCCTTTCAGGAACAAGATCTAGTACTAAAAATTAAGCTTGAGAATTTTTGCCCTGTGGTGCTTACTTTATCACAAAAATAGTTGTTCAATATAGGCTTCCTCTTTAGGATTATGACAACGATGGCAAGATATCTTTCGCCGACTTTGAAAAAGCAGTGAAAGAAGATAGACTTTTGTTGGAGGTGTTTGGACAGTGTTTACCAGAAGAAAAGGTACAGTGCCATCAGCCCCAAAAGGATGAGGGAACATTTTAAAGGATCTGAAAATAACACTTGTTAGACACTCACCTCCTGAGGGCTTCAGCTCACTGCTAAGGTTAGGCAACCACGCAGAGCTCAGCCCATCCTGGTGCTTAGGGACCCAAGACAGTAGTGACTGTTAAGTAATTCCATTCAACAGGCTTTTCTTTTGAGCTTGTAACTTCAATGGTACACAAGTCCTGGTTTCCTGTGTGTTAATATTTCTCAAAAAAAAAACCAGGGTATATTGGGCTTACTTAAGGGATAGAACAATGAATAAAGAGTGGATTCAGCAAGAACTGCCAGAAGAAAACTTGATGTCTTTCAACCCAAATGTCAATGAGAATAAATTAATTTTTTTTTAAATTGGACACATATATAGTATTTTGTGGTCATAAGGTTTATTTTTCATGTTTGGATTTGACAAGTTTTATGAGCTAGAAGAGCCAGCCTAATAATTTATTTGACTCATTAACATTTTCTTTAATTCTGCCTCTGATCAACTCTGCTTTGCAGACCTAAGAAGACACTTTTCTTTTTTGAAGAAACTTCTTATTCTGTGGTAATTTAGATGATTTTGTGAATGAACTTTCATAAGCTATCCTTATCTATTTTAGCTCATCTCTCTTAATTTGTTCCAATATAGTTTATTCCTTTTTTTTTTTAATCCTCACCTACAGATATGTTTATTGATTGTAGAGGGAGGGACAGAGGAGGGAATGAGGAAGAGAGAGAAGAGAGAGATCGATATCTAGGGATTGAACCCAAAATCTAGGTATGTGCCCTGACCAGGAATCGAACCTACAACCTTTAGGACAATACTCCAACTGAGCCACCTGGCCCAGGCTATTCCCACATTCTGTCTGGAAATATGTGGTAAAACCCAATATATGAAAGACAGACTTCTCATTTTAAGAGACTGGTGGGTGAAACAGTGCAGAATGATGGACTGGGTTGGAGTAACTACTTATGTCTGACAGTTCTTGAGTTTTTCCCAGACTCCTTCTGTCGCCCAGTTATCTAGAGTCTTGCTACTCAGTGTAGTCTGTGCTTCAGCACAATGGTATCACCTAGGAACTTATGAGAAATGCAGAATCTCCGACCCCACCCCAAACCAACTGAATCAGAATCTTTTTTGGTGTTGACATGAGAAAGGTTTCTTTCTTTCATCATGATCAAATAGTGTATTGTGTATGTTGGCAGGGATGGGGAGGAGTGCTGGCCTCCACTCACAGCTCAGGAATCCATTCAAGAACGAAGAACCCACTTAGCAGCTCCTCCCTTTAGGACTGTCAGACTTTGTGTGTGTGTGTGGTAAAAGACACCTAACATAAACTTTACCATTCACATCAATTTTAAGCATTCAAGTTCAGAAAAGTACATTCGCACTGCTGGACAGCAATCTCCAGAACTCTTCATCTTGCAAAACTGAAACTTTGTGCCCATTAACTCCCCATTCCTGCCCCGCCAGCTCCTGGCTACCAGCATCAGAATTACAATAAGACCCTGAAGTGGAGGTTCATAACACTTTTATGTCTGAAAAGGCTGACCTAGACAGCAATGTATTCTTCCTAATTCTATGGCCAGGTCTCTATTTTACCTAAATTCAGCAAAAATATATCTAATTGCCTTATGAGGCCAACCCTTTTGCCTGCAGCTTTTATTAAGACCATCTAGCCCTAGCCAGTTTGGCTCAGTAGATAAAAGCATCAGCTTTTAGACTTAAGGATCCCAGGTTTGATTCTGATCAAGGGCACATGCTGCGTTTTTGGGCTCAATCCCCAGTAGGGGGCGTGTAGGAGGCAGCCAATCAATGATTCTCATCATTGATGTTTCTCCCTTCCTCTCTGAAATGAAAAAAAAAAACATCTACCACTTAGTGTCCTCCTAACAAGTTTGGATCAGTAAATTATAACTGAAGATGAACTTTCTTAACTGATATGTTCAAATTTAATCCATTAGGCCAGAGGCCCTTAAGGATAGGGAGAAACGAAAAACATACCATTTGGTATGGGCCTTCTCCAGTTATTTTTATCGGTAAAAATATGTAAACAGGCTGGACACAATTGGATTTCATTATGTGGTCTACTAACAGTGAGTGTGGTCTACTAAAAGTGAGTGTGCTAACTGTAGAGGTAGAAGTTTAGTAATTACGAATTCTAATTTGTTTCTGCCATAGATCAAATAAATTCTTCTTACAACTAAAGCATGTAAGCTTCTAATTTCAGCTTAGTTCTAATCATTTATTAACTTTCTTACTTTACAGACTTGTCTTGATTTTGAAACCCTGGCATTCAAACACATCCTGAATTCTATCTAATTTTTTAAAGTGAATCACTCAATATTTGCATTAAAATAAAAAACAGATCTTGGATGACTATCTTTATTTCTTTCAATTAATTCACATATAGTTATTGCACTGTGAGAGGTAATATTATAAGAATCATTTCTGTAATAGTAAGTATGGATCAAAATAGTACTTATAATAAGTAATGATAAGCTAATTTATTTAAGTTAGTCAACAACCTTGGATCTTGTAGCATCAAGTCAGGCATTCTCAACCCTCTTTTCTCTTGCTTCCTCAAACATAGAAGTTGGAAACCTAAACATTCACTGTTCCAGACTCCTCAGAAACAGTCATTCCAGTTCTAGCCAATAAGATGTAATAAAAGTCAGTATATGGTGTTTCTAGAAAAGTTTTTATTAAAAGAAACAGTTGGCTAGCAAGTATTTTGTCCATAATAAACTAATTTTAAAAGATGAGACTAAATTAAACAAGAAGCTTGAAAGAAATTACAAAGAGGAGTGCATTAAAAAAAATAGCAAAAAATCTCTTCAAGAATGAAAATGACAGGCTAAAAATAAATATTCGTAGAAAATATTGATTTGCTACTAGTAATCTTATATTCTTCTTCTTTGTTTTAATGGATGACTTGTATGCACATCTTCTAGCTTGTCCTCTGGTTGCTTTGGCACAGTTGAAATCACCTAGTTTTAAAAAAAAGAGAACCAGAAAAAATTTTATAGTAAAAGAATAAGCACACTCTCAGAAGACATCATATATCCAGTAGTTCAATCCTTGCTATAATGTTTGAAGCAGAGCTAACCCAAGTTCAAGGTACATCCTACAATCTAGGCACAGAGCAAAGTTTTCTGTCCAAACACTGATGGGAGTAAAAAATTTTTTAAATTTAAATTCTTTATTGTATTACATGAGTCTTCTTTTCCTCCCATTGACCTCTCCACAGCCACTCCCATCCCCTACTGTCTGTGTCCATTGGTTATGCTCAAATGCATTCATACAAGTCTTTTGGTTGATCTCTTACCCCCTCACCCCACCTTCATTTTTATTTTTACACACACACACACACACACACACACACACACACACACACACACACATATATTTTTTTTAGAGAGGGAGAGGGATAGAAAGTTAGAAACATCGATGAAAGAGAAACATCAATCGGCTGCCTCCTGCACACCCTCTACTGGGGATGTGCCCGCAACCAAGGTACATGCCCTTGACCAGAATTAAACCTGGGACCTTTCAGTCTGCAGGCTGTTTTATCCACTAAGCCAAACCAGTTAGGGCCCCACCTTCATTTTTAAAGCCATTTAATAAGAAAATAATTTTGAGGGGAAATAAACATGCTCTACCTAACATTCCTTTGTAGATCTGAAGTCCCTTGTTATTTTATGGGTACAAATAGATATCCTGCTTGCATACAACTTGAAACACTGATAATGTTTGGTATATTTAGTGATGTGGAGGTCTGGGGGATAATGGTAGTGAAAAATTTAAAGACATAATCAGAAAATGTTATAACCCTTAATTTCTTAGGGAAAAGGAAATCAAATGTATCATGGAAAAAGAGTAGACAATAAGTTAAAGCAGAATAAGACAGTCTTCACTTAAACTGTGAAATTATTTGAAACCATAAATTACACTTGGTACTAGAGGCCCAGTGCACAGATTCATGCATAGGCAGGGCTGGCTGGGGGGGGGGGGGGGGGAGGAGGGCTGTGAGTGGTTGGCTGGTTGGCTCTGCTCCCTGGTTGAACTGGTCAAATTTCCAATAGAACTTCTGGTCCAGGGGACAATTTGTATATTAGCCTTTTTTAATATAGGATTTCTCCTCCTTATTCTATTCCTAGGATTTGGAACTAATATATTTTTTCTTGAAAACAGTCAACTCTGGCTTAGACAGCTCTGTGTCTGTATCCATGCCTTAGTTCAGTTGACTGTATGTGAAGAAAGGAAGGGTTGCCAGCACAAACTAAAAAACTTAAAAGAGGCTTAAGCATAAAAACTGTGTCCATAGATTTTTATTACTATAAAACAACCACTTATCCTTAATCAGATAATTTTCAGGTAAAAAATATACATAAGATAAGCTACCTTGTCCCTCCTTAGTCACATTATAAAACATAATATTCTGTTTCTTTTGTTAAAGATGTTTTTTATTGATTTTTTAGAGACAGGAGAGGGAGATACCTGTAGAGGATTTTTAGAGGAGGGATGGGGAGAGAGAAAAACTCTTGAGTTTCGGTCAGCTACCTCCTGCATGCCCCATGATGGAGATCAAGCCCCCAACCCAGGCATGTACCCTGACCAAGAATTGAACCAACAACCTTTCAGTACACAGGATGACACCCAACCAACTGAGCCACACCAGCAGGGCTAGTATATTTCTTGTCTAAGACAAGGATTAATGGTATCAAAGCAAATGGTATTTGTTAGTAAAATTCAGTAAACACGTCAAAAACTAAAATGAAAAATAGTGAATGACAATACTAAAGTTCTCATAAATAATTCTCCATTTAGGGTTAATCCTATAATCAAATCATCTCTTAGAAGTCTTCTTTAAATGATCTTACCTCTTTAAGTTTATTCCGAATTAAATTCGCTGTTGTATTCAAGGAGTCATCATGCATATCCACTTTGGGTATGTCTGGTAACTGAGGCCCAATTAGCACCTCATTACTGCTAGTGCTTGTTTCAAGAAAAGATCCAAGTTTACGATCATCTTCTCTTCTTCTCTTCCGCTCCTGCAGTTGTGTTGTCCTAGGCATAAATCTATCCACTGCCTCTGAAGGAGTAAGAGCCTTCTGTGCACCAGGGCAGGCCACTGAAGTTTTTAAAGTTTTCATCTGCATTTTCTGCAAAGAGTCATTGTGGTGACAATGCCCCACTGTTTCATCACAGTTTCTCCCAAACTGAGAGGAGCTTGATGCTCCATTCTCATACTCTCCTGATGAACACATACATGTTGAGGAGAAATAACATAAAGGCAGTTCACAAGAATAAGGAAGACAAGGATCTGAGTTCCCAGAAGAAGTGTTCAGCACAGCCTCACAAAATCCAGATTTCTTTGAGTGGAAGTTCTGTCTAAAATCTTCTGTATCTTTATACTCTGTAACCAGTTTCTTCTTTGTCATAAAATAATCTTTATATTACAATTTAAAAGGTGGGAGGAAAAGAAATAAAAATAGTTCATTTGTTTTCATCATTCAGAAAAGTGTAATTCTAAAAACAAACATTGCTTTAAAATGTTAACCGTTGTTACCCTTACAATTTTATTTCTTGGGCAGGCAATACATTCATGTGGTTTAAAAGCTAAAAAGGATAAAGGTATAGTAGTGTTACACTACACTTTCTTTGCTCCCCTTATGCCTGGTTTCCACCCCCATAAATAATCATTATTTTTACTTTCTTACTCATCTGTCCAGTATGTCTTCCTTCTACCTACCCCTCTTTCTCTCCTGAAACATCCATTTCTTTGCACCTTTGTGTTTTCCAGTTAACGGTAGATCTTGGAGAATTTCTCCGTTATTTCATACAGTATGAATGTATATGCTGCTTAGTTTTTATAGGAAGCAATATGCTGGGCCCATATTTAATTCCCCCCACACACACACACACGTACAAGTTTGTATGGAGATAGTTATTTACATATTCCATAGGTTAAAGTTCAGTCTTTACAAATTACCAGGGACTCTCAACAGCTCTCTTGCCAATTTTTTACGTAAGTTTTTAAAGAACCTCTCCACTTATTTCTCTCTTCAACATTGCCGCATGCCCATTCCCCAATCAGCCACAAACTCCTCATATTCAATAGCTTTATGGACATTGACTTTGACCCAAAGGGTGGACATTTGGTAATTTAGCTTCTAGTAGCATTCAGTTTTCAGACCACACATGCTGTCTTAATCTAATTCTGACTGCTCTAGTTCTACAACCCGCATAACCGATCCCAGGACTCCATCCCAGGCATCTGGAATTTGTGTCAAGGGAAACTCAGTTGGGCATATGAGGCACCTGGCCAGCTATTGGTCAAAAGTAAAACTTTCCCACTTTTAGCAGTTTTAGAATAGCCAAAGGGGACTGGTTTATAAATCCTAATTATTTCTCACTTCAGGTAAAAGTTTTAATTCCTGAGCGTGGGCCACAAGGCCCTTTATGATTCACTTTCTGGCCACTTTTCTAATGTTACCTCCTACCGAAGCCTGTGCGTGGTTATCCTGTACTACTCACAGCTCCTTAAGACGCACGATGCTCCTTTATTCCTCTGGGCCTTTAAGCATGCTACCTGGCCCACCTTTCCATTCTTCCTCTCCCCTTTTGAATCATGTCCACTGAATCTGTCAAAACTCAGCCCCCTCTCACATCCTGTAGGAAGTCTCCCACAAACCAACATCTCTCTTCCCAGCCCAGATTACGTTGAGTGCTACAAAGAATTGTGGTACAGTTGTTGAATATTGAGATCATTTGTTTGCCCCTTTTCCCACTAGACTAAGCGCTTCATGAAGCTATACTTAGCAGAATGCCTGACACATAGATGTTTAATAACAGGCTTCCCATACCTTTATTTTTAGTAACTCTTGCTATATAAGCCTTCCTCTCTTGTAATTTTTTTCTAGTTTCTTCAACTGTCTCAAATTCTGGAGCATAGCACACATGAAGCAATCCACCAAAGAAACTCTGTTCATCCATTTTCCTCTTGGCTATCCTAAACAGAAGGACATGATAGCATGGTTTATTAATATAGATTTACTTAGGATGAAAAACTTGACCAATATACAATGCATAGATCTAAAGAGCAAAGACCAGCTTTTCCTGTGTGTGTGTACAGCATATGGTTTGGGAATTAAGTAGTTTGCTTATGGATGGAATTGATGGAATTGACCTTGATCTAGTGCATACTCATAAGAGCCTTTCCTCCCTTCTCCCAACAGTGTTAATGGGGTTTGAGCTAAGTCATCCACATATATGTAGACTTCCTTTAACCAACTAAGAATCCAGCTGGTTAGACTAAGGTACACAATCCATAGCCATAAAATAGAGATTTTCTCTGTGTTGAATTAAATGGCCTTTGAGTGTTAGCTCATACCCAGTTTAGCCTTCTCAGCACAATGTGTTCCTATATAAAAAATTAATAAAATTATAACTGTAAAACCTTCAATAATCGAGGAAATACTGAATATATAACAACTAATCAATGAGAGGATGGTATCATTCAACAAATACTAGTACTAAACATCTATAACTGGTCTGGCATTATAATAAATACTGAAGTACTTACTGAGTTGATTTTTATTTTGTTTTTTAAATATATTTTATTCATTTTTTACAGAGAGGAGAGGGATAGAGTTAGAAACATCGATGAGAGAGCGTCATTGACCAGCTGCCAGGTACATGCTCTTGACCGGAATCGAACCCGGTACCCTTCAGTCCACAGGCTGACTCACTATCCACTGAGCCAAACCGGTCTCGGCACTTATTGAGTTTTTTACCACATGCCAGGCAGTGCCCTGAGTGCTTCACTTGAATTAACACTTCACAAGAACCCTATGATGAATGTATGGCCTGAGGAGATTGTGAACTTGGCCATGTTTACCCTGGAGAGTGGAGCTGGGATTCAAATCTAGATGTCGAACTCCAAGGCCAATTGTACTAGGTCGGTGCTGTGGGAAATGCAAAGCCTCTAGAAAATAACTTCCTTAAGGATGAGAAGCTGGCAAGTTGGTTAGGAAAGTGAGACTGCATTTAAGAGCAACCTGAGCCGAAACCGGTTTGGCTCAGTGGATAGAGTGTCGGCCTGCGGACTGAAAGGTCCCGGGTTTGATTCTGGTCAAGGGCATGTACATAGGTTGTGGGCACATCCTCAGTAGGGGGTGTGCAGGAGGCAGCTGATCGATGGTTCTCTCTCATCGATGTTTCTAACACTCTATCCCTCTCCTTTCCTCTCTGTAAAAAATCAATAAAATATATTAAAAAAAAAAAAAAAAAGATTCTCTGTCTTTAAAAAAAAAAAAAAAGAGCAACCTGAGAAGAACACCTGACCCCATAAAGTAAGTGCTATTTGTTGCACAGAAAAGAAAACATGAATTGTAATAACAGGGAAGGATACATCTTGAAACAAATTAGTAGGAGGGAGGGTTTACATAAAAACTGCACTTTTGGAACAGTTTATGTTATATAGAAAGCTGGAAGAGATGGCATTAATTCATATAGGTGTACAACAGTAAGAACCTCAATAACTAATGTTTACTGCATTCTGCTAAGCCCTTTACATGGTTTACCTCATTTCAGCCTCACACAACCTCAATAAGCAGGTCCTTTGATCATATGGATTTTATAGAATAAGCAAAACAGGCTTACTAGAGTTTAATAACTTGTCCAAGATCATGACGTTAGTAAGCAAGGGAATTGGAAAACTTACTCTAAACCCAATTTTTTAAAAAAAAATTCATTTATTTTTCTTTTTTACAGAGAGGAAGGGAGAGAGAGAGTTAAAAACATCGATGAGAGAGAATCATCGATGAGCTGCCCCCTGCACACCTCACACTGGGATGTGCCCACAACCAAGGTACGTGCCCTTGACCTGAATGGAACCTGCGACCCTTGAATCCGCAGGCCAATGGTCTATCCAACTAGCCAAACCGGTCAGGGCTTACTTTAATCTACTGCCCCACATGACAAAGTGTCACACACGAGAATGATGCGATAGGAAGTGTTTTAGGAAGGCAAACATTTAAAAAGACTGGAGAACAACAAAGGGCCATGTTACTGAGTAATTGAGGTAAGAATGTGGGAAACCTGGGACCTCAACAATGGCGGTGGGGATGGGGGCAGTATGACAGTGCTTAACTTGCACATTACCTTGCACTTTGTAAGTTCATGTATTTAATAAGATAAACTTCTGTAAATTCTTCTGCTGGGTATTCATCTAGAGCATTATACTGCTCGATTGCACCATACAGAGCAAATCGTTCAACTAATTCCTTCATCGCTCCCACTGCAGGAACTCCTTGTATTATTAAGTACCGAGATTCCAAATTAATTGTATATACCTAAAGGAAATGCAAACAAGTCAAATGTATTTCGCAAATAAGCCCAAGACAAAATCTGCTTTAAAAACGAAATATTTTTCAATCAGTTTTCAGAAAAAAATTTTTTTTAAAAAAATGTGCCCTTCTCTCTGATGAATAGCTCCCTCCACGTGAATTCACCTAACGAAAGCACAAAATAGACTCCCTTCAATGGCTGCTTTCCAGAAATGGGCTGGGCACAGTTACTGGAAAGAGTCGGATATTCCCTGAGTGCCTACCCTGTGCCCAGGAGAGCCGTACACAGGGAAGACACAATGGAGAGAGCCAAGCCCTGTTTTCGCAGCGCTGGCGGCCTCGCCGTTGCCCAGAGGGGCCGTGAGGACCTCGGTAGCTGGTGAGGGCTCCTCACAACCATCTGCGGCGACAGAGAGGTCCGCCCGCAGCCGCCCAGGCCTTTACTTACATGGGCTGGGCGTGCGGGGCTGGAACTCACCTACCACTATTGAGGGTAACGAAGGAAATTTGAAAATCACCTCACCCTCACGGATCGAGGCCGTCGCCCCTCCCGGTACTTGGCCCGCGTGTCGCAGGCAGCCCTTTGGACGTGGTGGTCGAACAAGCCGCCGAGCTGCCCGCCGCCCGACGCCATCTTCCGGGCTTCGGCTCTCTCAGAAACGACAACATCCGCCGGCCGCACTCCCGTCGATCCAATGAGAGAGAGGGATGGGTCCCGGCGTGCCGGGATTGGCTGGAGCATCGACAGCGTCGGCCGTCGTTTCCTCCAAAAGAGGGTTTGTGAACGGCGTGCTGCCCCCCAGCGGCGCGGCGGAGGGGCCGGAAGGAGGCAAAAGGCTTGCTGGCCCCGCCCCTATGCGCGGTGAGAAGCGCCACGGGAAAGGGGCGGGGCCTCGAGCAGGGGGCGGGGCCTCTAGCAGGGGTGAGGGGCGGGGCCGCTTGGAAAGGGGCGGGGCCGATCGATGTTATCCAGCTCCCACGCCCGGGCCTGCGGGCTCGGCGAGAGTCAGCGGGGGCGGGCGGTCGGGGTTGGCGGACGATGTGGGGCTGCGAGCGCCTGGCGGGTGCGGTCGGTGCGGCCGTGACTGTGGCCTTCACCAACGCCCGCGACTGCTTCCTCCATCTGCCGCGGCGCCTCGTGTCCCAGCTGCACCTGCTGCAGGTAACGCGCCGGCCTCGCCCCGGCCTCGCCCCGGCAGGCCGGACACCTGGGCGGGGGGCGGGGGTCGGGGGTCGGGCGGGACGAGCGCTCCAGGGACGCGGTGGCCTCGGGCCTCTCCCGGCGGCGGCGGCGGGCACGGGGCTGCTTTCCCGGCGCCGCTGACGGCGAGGAGGCCGGACCGAGGGCCCGTGGAGGCCGGGCCGGGCCGGGCCGGGGAGGCGTCGGGGGGCGGGGGTGGGGGGCGTCTCGCAGCCGCACGGCGCCGGGGGCAGGCGGCCCGGGGGAAAGTCCACCGGCCTGATTCCAGCGCCTTCCGGCCGGCGCAACCGGGCTGCTAACTACTTCACGCTCTGCGTTTGCGTCCGGATATTCACTCCGGTTGGAAAGCTCTCGGGAAGTCGTTTCTTTTGTTGCTTGTGTGTGTGTGTTAAAAACCTTTCCCGGCCAGAGACTTGCAGGTGCCTGCGCGGCTGCGGCCGGCTCCGGCGGAGGGAGGCTTGGCGTGCGGGGTCCGGGGTGCCCCGGGCCGAGCGCCGCCCCCGGCGGGCTGGGCTCACCGGGCGGGTCCGGCTCGGGGCTCCGGGGGCGTACGGGGGGGGGGGGGGGACGGCAGCGGGTTTGCACCTCGGGCGTGTGCAGTTATTAGCATCGTGCGACCCGGGCTGTCAGTTGCCCTTCTAAGGTTGAGATGGGGATTCGTGGCTCTCACCGTTGGCAGAGAGACAGCGCCCCCACTTCCATACCTAAAAGCAGGCAGTTAGTTGGAGTGTGTTTTGTGGGGCAGAGGGCTGGAATAGAGGCGTGCATAACTGCTTCCAGGCCCCTGCGGTGAACCGAGTGTGGCCGTGAAGCCAGGGGTCATCTTTTGCTGGTGAAGGAGGGTCTTGCTTTTAATTTGTAAAAACTGTCAATGTCTGTGGAGCGCAATTAAGCGGAGCCCAGCAGAAGGAGATGCACCTGTACTTGACGTCCTTGGAAACCCTGATGTGTGGCAGCCAGCACTAGCTAATCCACCCAGGAAATACGTAAGATTTTACAATAATTGAAAAAAATAATTTCCACCTGAGCTGCTTCTCGGTACCTATTTTTCTAGGACAGCAATTTTCAAACCATGCACCGCAAGAATTTTTAAAACATGCAATACCTGACCATGAAGGCAAGGGGCACTGACCTCTTTTTCCTTAAGGTTGTCAAATTAAAAGATGAAAGGAAAAAAAAAAAAAAAGATAACAACCAAGACCACAATAGCTATCTGGTGTGAATGAATCAAAATTATATCTTTTTTTTTTTTGGCACATCAACAAAAATTATATTTTTTGGTATGCTGCAGAATTTTAGTAATTAGTTTATGTGTACGAAGAGATGAAAAAGATTGAAAAATCTCAGTTCTAGATTATCCTCCCTCCCCCTTCCCCACCATCTTTCAAAGCATACCAAATCCAGCAGATCTTCCGTTATTTCTTCTACCCTAAGGTAGGCAACCTTTTGGCCCTGACAGGCTTCATTCATGGAGCCTGGTCACTATCACCACATCCTGGTAGACTGCCCTGTGCTTGGTCAGCTGGGACGATTTTCAGCCTGCTCTCAGTCCCCACCTGAGTTTAAAACAATAGACTCCCCACCTAAGGAAATTATAGGAATGCTCTCTTAATAGTAACTAATAATTTGATCCCAGTGTGAATGCTAAGTCATATTCATCATTATTCAAGAATTTAGTGGTTTTGATCTTCGTTTTAAATTTTGAGCCCTCAGTAAGTATTCATAAGAAGCCATGAATACCTTTTTGCAAATTAAATCTCTTTAACCTTAGCACAAATTGTTTCCATCTGGCCTATTATCAGCAGAACAAGCCAACTTTAAATTTTAAAGTAACATAATTTATAGAAAATTTGGAAAGCACAGAAAATTATAAACAAGAAAATAAAAGGTACCCATAATCCCCAAACCTAGAGGTAGCTAATTTTAACAGTTTGAATCATATCTTCTAGTTTTTTTTTCTAATCTTTAATTATTTTTAACACAAATGATGTCCTGCACTATACATAGTTTTCCTACAGTGTTATTGAGTGTTTTACTTGTTAAAAGGTAATCATCATTTTTCATTGTTAATTTGTATTCTATCATAAATTTGCCATAATTTAATAATTCACTGTGATTGAACACTTATATTGTATTTAATTTTTAGAGATTAAAGTTGATGCTATAATTAATTAAAAGTTTAAAATAGGACATCTTTGTCTATAAAACATTGTTTTTTATTTGTTTATTTAAGATAGTTTCCCAGAATTATTGGGTTTAGAGCAGCGATTTTCAACTTTTTCATCTCTTGGCACACATAAACAAAAAGTATATGTTTTGCCCATCTGACAAAAAAATAGGTATAATTTTGATTCATTCATACTGGATGGCTCTCATTGTGTTGGCTGTTGACATTTTTTTTATTTGACAACCTAAGGAAAAGAGGTCAGTACCCCTGTCTAAATAGTGAGGTGTTGCATGTTTTAAAAATTCTTGCGGCACGCCAGTTGGAAATCACTGGGTGAGAGGGCGTAGGTAATTATTAAAGCAGAAAGTCCTGAGTTGGGAGTTAATAGTTTGAGCTGTTTTATTTGGGCTGAAGCATTGAGTACATAACACAGATAATGCTGTAATGGGAAGAGGTCACAACTGTGGTTCTCTGGGGTCTGTCAGGCTTACCTTGAAGCTTTTAAAAATACAGATGTTCTGGTTCTTCCTCAGGCCTATGGAATCAGAACTGGGGCAGTAGGCTTCTATAGTTTTAAGATTTTTCTTCAGAAATGAGTTGAAACCCACTGTTATAGAATCATAAACTGTTAACGGTGAAAGGGACCTTAGTTACTCCATAGCCATACCTCAGAAATATTGCGGTCCAGTTTCAGGCCATCACAATAAAGCAGGTATGGCAATAAAACGAGTCAATGTTTTTTGCTGGTTGGAGAGTCTTGCCTTCAATGTTAAAAAATGCAACATCTATGCCGAAACCAATTTGGCTCAGTGGACAGAACGTCGGCCTGTGGACTGAGGGGTCCTGGGTTTGATTCCGATCAAGGGCGTGTACCTTGGTTTGCCAGCACGTCCACGGTGGGGGGTGTGCAGGAGGCGGCTGGTGGATGTTTCTCTCTCATCGATGTTTCTAGCTCTGTCCCTCTCCCTTCCTCTCTGTGAAAAATCAATAAAATATATATATTTTTAAATGTAACATCTAAAAAAAAAAAAAGGATGGGCATCTGTAAAGCTCAATAAAGCAAAGTGCAATGAAATAAGGTGTGCCTGTAGGCCTTTCTGTACTTTTACGGAAGGAAAGTGGCATTCCTAGGCCAGTATCATTTCCATGCGGGGAATGTGCCTTGTCTATAATTCACTCTGCACCATCCAACAAGCCTTCTCAGTGTTTCTTCTGTAACCAGCTCCTCCCCACTTCGGTACACATTTTCCCTCATTCAAATTCTGTCGCCTACATTTGTGTCCTTTTCAGAATTTCATAGCTGTCCTTATATGACACATTTACTTGTTACTCTCTTCTCTGCCTTTCAGTATTCTCTTTTGTTTATACAAGTCCTATTTTCAGGACTAGTTGTGCAGTAATTGTTTTAACTCAGGATTTCTTAACTGTGGCACTATTGCCATTTGACGCTGAATAATTTCTTGTTGTGGGGTCCTGTCCCTGGTATTGGAAGATACTCAGCAGCATCGCTGGCCTCTATCCATTGGGTGCGGTGGTACCCCTCCTCCCAGAGCTGACAAACAAATGTCTCCCTGTCTCTTCGGGTCAAAATCACCCCAGCTGAGAACAACTGCTTTAACTCGCTTGTCTGTGTTCTGGGCTCAATACTTGCTGTGATTGATGAAATAGGGGAGAGGATTCATATCCACACAGAATATAAACAGATGAACCTAAATCACCTTCCAGAAGTGGCCAGGTACAGATTTGTCATTTCCTTTATATTAACCAGAAATAACTTGGCCAGTCCTAATGGTTTCACCTGGAGGTTTGGCCAAAAGCAGACAGTCAATGATACGTTGATCAGATTAAACTGGAAAGGGGACTCCTTTCTCTCCAACCTATCTCCTCCCTCTCTCCTTCTCTCTCTCTTTCTCTCTCTCTCTCTTTCTCTCTCTCTTTCTGCCCAGGGGCTCTGTAGTCCAAGTGAAAAACTTTTGACATAAAAATGAACTCAGAACATTATTAGTCTGCAAAGTTTACCAAATCCAACTGAACATAAAAGATGACTTTATGGGGCTGGTTACTACATTTTGACCAAATGAATAATTGAAGTATTTTTCCTGTTTAATAAAGTTGAGTTCCCCCTTTTCCAGTGAGTTGATGGAATTCTCCTTTTTGATATTTCAGGGCATATTTTATTTTTAAAAATGTTTAAATATATTTTTTATTGATTTCAGAGAGGAAGGGAGAGGAAGAGAGAGAGAGAAATATCAGTGATGAGAGAATA